TCAATTATATAAAATGACACTTTCGGTTAACCGATTTTAAGAGGAAAAAGTTGCTGTTACATCCCAACTATATACTTAACCTAAATATGTATTTTCAGCTTCGTGAGACTTCTCGTTTTTGAGCTACACTCTTCACACATACAGAGACCATTTTTTGAGACTTGGTTATTTGGACTCAGGGGACCTCAAAACGTGTATTTGATTCGAAAATTTTTACGACCACAAAACTTTGCCTTATCGATCAATTTTTTTCTGTACATATAGTTGTAAGTAAAAACAAAACCTAGGTATGTAATAAATTGTTTTTGACGATAATAAGTTTTCTTTTAAAAATTAAAATATCTAATTTCAAAAATCTTTTGTTAAATAGAAATAAGAATTAAATTAGATTAATAAAATAAAATGTGCCACATTTTTTAAATCAACAATCACAGAAAATTAGAAAAGATCCAGAAAATAAAAAAATGAAATAATATTTTTTTTAAAATCATTTTACCTAACTTTAATGGACCCTTCTTTGGGATTTTCAATTAACCGCGTAGTCTTTAGGAAAGACCGTACTAAAACGAATACAACTGACAGGAAGAGCCTGAATGAGTTCTAATTAACATTCCAAGTAAATTGACAGACTTTTAGAACTGACACCGCATCCACTGCATTATTCCTATGGTTTCACATTTTTTTTTATTTCTATTTTTTTTTAAAGTATTATTTTCTAAAATAATATTTTTTTCTAATCGCAATATGTTTTCGTTGAATGCACAAGCATAATTTTAAAATTTCAAAACTAATACTTTCATACAATTTCATAATATATTTTTCCAATCTGTAAACTAATCCTGATAGCTTAAAAATGTTTTTTATAGTATTAAAATTTATTTGAAATCACAAATGTAATTTTTGTATCCTATTAACGTTAATACTTATATATTTAATTAGCTTGCTTTATTATATTAAACATTTATTATATTATTTTATATTTATTACTAGTATTATAAACATTATCGATAATATAAATATATCGAGTAAAAAAAAAAAAAAATTAATGCCCCGGGTGAGGATCGAACTCACGACCTTAAGATTATGAGACTTACGCGCTGCCTACTGCGCTACCGAGGCTCTGTTTCGTAATGCTTTTATAATTAAATATAGCAAAGCAAGCTACAGATTAACACCTCCAAATTTAGCCAAAGAGTTGAAATTTTGTATTTAAATTGGGTTCATGTTAGGGATGTGTTTTTCGAGGGTCTCGGCTTTTTCTTCTAATTCCGCCATTTCAGTAAAATAAATTCTGATAATCTAAATTTAAATGTTCAACAGAAAAACATGAAAAAGAAATTCAGTAATAATTTAAATTATCATTAAATCTCCTCTGGCAAAAATTTAATTTAAAAAAATAAGTCTTCAATAAATTTTTATCAGAACTCATAGGAGAATACTTTACATTTTGATTAGGGGGGACGATGGGATAAAAAAAAAAAAGAAAAATGGCGATAGTTCATATTACTTCTACAAAATCAATGTAATTATTGTGAAACGAACAAATATAATATTAGATATTTAAAAATAAATGTTAAGATAGTTGTCAGATATATATTTTTTTTTTATCAGCTTTTTTATATACTTGAAAATATCTGAACAAAACAATTGGATATACAACAATTTGTATACATTCAACATTGGAGAAAGGAGAAAAGACTCCATAACATAAGTATTTCTCTAGAACTTTATCAGCTAAAAATGAATAATGTTAAAAGCTGAAAAATACTTTTGATTTCTTAGTTTGTACAACCTCGAAATAAAAAAAGAAAATAATAATAATAACACAGTCTGACTATGTAAAAATGTCTCTAAAAACATTCTATACAAAATATACTTGTACTTATTATATTTTTTCCAACGTTAATGCCAACAATTTATAAGAAAATCACGTGAAAATGGAGGTGTACACATGAATCATTAAATCCAAGAATATGTTTCTATATTGTTATTCCTGAATATGAATGAAAATTTAAATTTTAGCAATATTTAGGCCGTGATAAAATTACCTGCCTACTTATAATAAGTCTAACTTAGCCAGCTAATCGAATTTTCTTGTTTTCTTAATCGATTTTAGTTTACATATTTAATTCATTCATGTAGCTTATTTGTTATCAATTTTAATTTTTTTTACTTGAAATTATTGGAGGAGGGTGGAGCGAAACGATATTCTCACCCTCTCAACATTTTTATTCCTAAATCGACCAAGAGCTTAAAATTTAAAATAGAGAGAGAGACATGAATGATTAAGTGATTGCTTCAAACTACTTTCAGGTGTATACTTAAATTAATAAATTTCCTAAATAAACCTCGTAAAATAAATAAATTTCATCTCAAACAATAGCGTTAGTACATTTATTGAAATATCTTATCCGGGGTAAAGTTATTGGGGGTTATCGTATTATATCATATCAACCCATAAACAAGGATTGAAATATTCCATCGGCACAAAAGTATGATAAAATGCTTTTTAAAAAATTCCAGAACGACAATTAGATGCATTACATATTTTTGGCTTTTCAAGCTTAAAAATAATTACAATTAGTTAGAAAATTTGATTTCGTATCCAAATTTGAAAAGATACTTTTTCAGATGAAAAAAGCGCAGAATTTGAATATTCGAATCTGAGTTTTCAACAAAAATACATGCTTCAGGTCCCAATAACCAAGGTTTGAGTCCAAATAACCATGTCCCGCAAAATGGTCTGTGTATTTGTGAACAGTCTAGCTCAAAAACGAAAAGTCGTACGCAACTGAAATTTCGATTTATTTAAGGTTTGTACATGCCTGGGGTATTACAGGCACTTTTTGATCAAAATCGGCAAACCAAAAATGCCACTTTACATTAGCGATTTTACACATTTTTTCGAAAACGGCTCTAACAATTTTTATTAAATTCGTATACAGGGTTTAAATGCCTAATTTTCAAAATTTCTTCGTCTAAAGTAACTTTGATTTTTTTTATTTGAAATAATTGACCATTTCACATTGTACAATGATATAAAAAAATGGTTAAATATAATGAATGGAGTAAATTGATTGGTAACTAAAGGAGAAATAAGCTTTAGAAGTTGTACGGAAACAGCCGACAGCACTCGATCTTTGGCGATCCTCTTCCTTTACATATAACCGATACCGCTCTGTAAAGGGCTTTCATATTGTTAGTTTAACTTTTATATATCACTTATCCATAACTTTCTAATATAAAACTAATAAACCATATTTACTAACATTATTTTTTCAACGAGTTTCGTGATGAATGGTTTCAATAAAACCCAGTATTTTGGAAAAGTATTGCTCCACGTATTTATCGAGTATAAAATAAAATATAATAATATTGTTCCCCAAAATCATTAGTATTATTTGATACTATATACAACGTATAACAACGCAAACGTATAACATGGTCGATAATTGTTTTAAATGAAGTGATACCGTTGTTGTCATGTTGAATTCTCTATGACTATACATGAAAATTCCCTATACCCAAAAATCGACCTGTTCGCAGGCGAAGGATGGATTGTAAATTGCGAAAGTGTATGTTATTCTGAGTAAAAAGAACCTTGTCTGATGTTCTAGAGCCGCTGCTTTCAAAAATGGTGGATTATATAAAGAATATTAGGTGAGTAATTTGAAGGTCGAAATCAGGAATCCATTGCGAAAAATGTGAGAAAAGTTTTTATTTTTTTAACTTGTATATACGGGGTTAGACATGTAAAAAACAAAATTGCTAACGCGGGCCACCAAGGGAAAACTTTTTACAGCCAAAAAAGTCAGATTTTTTAAATATTCTTTTGTTTTTCCACCTATTATTCCTAACCGATGCATCAAAGCGAAAAATGTATTCTTTAATATATTAAAGAAGGTTAAATTTTGTGTCGAATGAGTACATAAACTTTATAATTTGGTTACGCGATAAGGTATAAAACCACGGTCAGCCAACGCTGAGTTTTACCAAATTTCCCAAAAACTGAGAGAAATTACTATAAATGGCCCTGTAACTTGGTAATGAGTTCCCTTAGAGGAAAAACCCACAGAATCAAAGTTGTAGAGCATCAGATTTTGCGTAAACGGAGTACCAACTAATTTAATTTAGGTCACTTACTGCGAACAACATCGGTAATCTCCCGATGGTTAGAAATTGGTTTTGAAGGTAAACGTGATTTTCAATATTGCAATAGTATGGGTGTCTATTCTACTGAGTTAGTTTTGTTTAAAGTCTGTTACATGCAGTATAAGCCTCTTTTCCCCCTCTCAACAGCAAACGATTTTGGTAAACGATCGATCTGCCGAAAGATACCGAATTTTATAAAGGAATATCGAATACCTATTCGAAACATATAATTGGCTTATAATAAAAATGTCAGAACTCAGTTTACGCAAAATTTGATGCTCTACAACTTTTATTCTAAGGGTTTTTCCTCTAAAGAAAATTATTCCAAATTACAGGGCCATTTATAGTAATTTGTCTCAGTTTTTGAGAAATTTGGTAAAAATCAGCGTTGGTTGTCCGTGGTTTTATACCTTACAGCGTAACCGAATTATAAAGTTTATGTATTCAATTGACACAAAATTTAACGTTCTTTAATTTATTAAAAAATACATTTTTCGCTTTGATGTATTTTTTAGGAGTTATAGGTGAAAAAACAAAAAAATATTGAAAAATTCTGACTGTTTTTTACATGTTTAAATCCTTATATACAAGTTAAAAAAATAAAAAGTTTTCTAACATTTTTCGCAGGGGATTTCCCGTTTCGATCATCAAATTATTGGCCTAATATTTTTCAAATCAGCCGCCATTTTTTAAAGCAGCGGCTCTGAAACGGCAGACAAGGTTCTTTTTACTCAAAATAACACACACATTCGTAATTTACAATCAAACCTTCGCCTGCGATCAGGTCGATTTTTGGGCCCTGGCTCCAGGGCGACGACATCACTGTTTATTGTTATTTTTAAACTTACTCTTTGATTCGGCAAATTTCTTTTCGTACTCTGGAGTTTCGATATCGACAACTACTTTGTGAATGAGAAAGAAGAAGTCGATGACGTTTGCTCCTGACTTCTTGACGCACTTCGCGACGAGTTTCGGCTGTACCTCCGGCCAAATCCCAAGGTCGTACAAGAACTGCTGCGCCCTTCCGCTGTGGCTCTCCTTGAGGTCGGTTTGCAAAGCGACTTCCAGATTATCGATCAAACTCATCTGGGGAAAACAGCTGATCAGTGATAATAAAACAGCTGGTTTGTGAAATTTAAACAGCTGGTTTGTGAAATTTAAACAACTAGATTTTTAAACGAAAACTACAAATGAGCAGTGTTTTTGTTGGTACAGTTACGGAATGGACTTAATCCGTAACAAATAATAATAATGATAATATTAATTTAACTTTTATTAATATATAACTTAATATTTAATATGGCAATTGGTGAATCATGCATTGACCTTTGTCATGACTTTTATCAAATTATAAAAGCACAAAGCCCTAGATAGCCAAGTCAAGTTATCTCTGATAGCTTAGAAATAGTTATCTAGAATGTACCGACTGGACAGAAGACACTTATCAAGACTTAGGGAACAATAACCGTTCTCAGCAATAGAGCACTTTCTCACAAACTTCATATCAATTCTAAAAGATAAGGATATCAATTCTTAATATTTATAACTTCATTCACACGCTTCCTAGACCGTCCAGAATTGACTCATCCCCCCTACTATTTCTGAGCATATAACACACATGATCCTCAGGCCAAACCACTCATGCAGTTCCATTCTTGATGTCATACTCTTTACTGCAGGAGACCTGGAGTGAACTCATGTAGTCAACTCATATATCCATATTATATTATTCTGTATTTTAGATGCCATTTGTAACATTATAAATAAAACCATTATTTATAAAGTCTCCACTGCCTCCGATTATTTAACTGTACGAAAATCAACCAGCTTCGTGACTCGTACATAATTTTTGCTTACGTATGCAAACATATATTTTTATGAATGAAATTTAAATTTCTTTTACAGTTATTTTTAATGTTTTATTCTTTGTTTTAATATATAATACTTTTTTTTCATTAGAGACAAATTAATTGCTATTATTTCTTATTTAATTAGTGTATGATTATTATTTCCTTCGTAAAAACAGAAAATATGTCCATTTTTATCGAATATAAAATATAAGAAATTATATCCTTCATAAAATTACGATTGTTACATGATTAATTTAACTAGATCTAAGCACTTGCGGATCCAGGATTTAATTTTGGGGGAGGGGCTTCAGCCCGAAAGCTTTTTTTTTTCATAAAAATGACGATAATTACTTTGGAAAAAAAGAAAGAAACTAACTAGCTATATGAAATGGTGTTTAAGTGATTCCTTAAGCCCTTTTAAATGTAATTACACGAACAATAACATTTTATGATATAATTTTTTAATACATTTTTCCATAAAACATGGTTATATTTTACCATTTTGAGGGTGCTTCAGCCTGAAAGCCCTCCCACCCGTAGATCAGCCCGTGGTTCTAAGTAAGTAAAATAAAAAAAAAAATTACTATTTATTAATTTTTATTATATTTTACCTAGTTTCGAACTTTGATGGAATCATAATAATGTGTTTCCCTTTAGTTTAAAAAGTTTATTTTTCTAATTTTATTTTTATAGAAAGTTTATAATGGTTCCAAAAAATATATTCTCTTTCTTATATATTTAATTTTGTGCCTTCAATTCAACTCGTTTTACTTCTTGACCCATTAACTTAAAATCGAAAATGTAAAAAGGCTTTAAAATATATAAATAGAGGTACAAAGTAAAACTCTGATTTACTTTAAAAAAAAAAGAACATTGGGCCTAGAATAGTACGAATTTTCAATGAGCAAGCAAACGAAGATGTAGGTCACACAGCGCGCGGCAACAATGGTACAAAAACGTATTGCAAGATTCACTACTGATACAACTGTAGAATATTTACACGTGATAATTGCGAATATCTTTAGAAAATAAATTATTTACCATACCAGACTGAAACCATACCAGACTGAAACGACTAGAAACCGCCCGACGTTTTCGACTACTGCAGCACTTACTAGACAAATGATCTAAGCTTTCAATCAATTATAAACGACTCGTATATATGACAATAATAAGACCTATTTGGGCTTACGGAATTGAGCTTTGGGGCTCCACTAAACCATCGAATTCCTCTCGTATCCAATCCAAAATCCTTCGTAAAATCCTCAACGCTCCCTACTTTGTCACAAATAAAATCATCCATAAAGACCTTAATGTTCCATATGTTTCCGATTTGGGCCAATCCCACCTGTCCTTCCATAACAAACTGCAGAACCATCCGAATCCTCTCGTTTCAAACCTTGCTTCCTCCTCGATACCTGATAACCCTCCGAGGCGTCTGAAAAGAAGATGGCCTCGGGATCTTCTAATATAGAACTTTAATTTGAGTTCTACCAATGGGTAGTTTCTCTTCATGTTATACATGTCATGTTACCAATTTCACATTTACTTATTGTATTTTCTATGTAATACAGTTGTAAATTCCATTAAAATAATAAAAAAATAAAAAAATATTTAAAATTTACATATTATAAAATTAATGATAAAACAAATGCATTGTACTTTACATTTAATATGTAACATTTATAACTTCAATTATAGCTTATATTAACTTTAAATAATTTAACATAGGACTTACCTGTTGAGGTGACAGATCTTGGAACCAAAATGGTCCTGCATTGGACATTCTCTGAAGGCACTGTTCCACCTCTAGAAAAGTCAATTCAAGTGTAATTGTTTAGTCACTTATATTGGTCAAAGTTTTTAATACTATGATATACTAAAATTAAAATAAATCCCCATTTAGTTGAAAACCGAATTCCTATAATTATTTAACTACATCGACCAAATATTGTTTACAAGAGACTGTACTATGTATTAGTGTTTACCAGATCCATTGTAACCAAATTATATGGACGATAACACCCCAACTTTCTTGAGCTTTCAGAAGTTTGACCGAAAATTTGATGGTAATCATTTGGACAGTATGGAAGCCTTTAGTAGATGTACCTACATATATATATTTTTCTAACCATAGACGGTTCCAGAAAAGTACATTAAACGATATATAGGGTTTTCGTTAGTAGTGTGAATTGTTTTCAAATATATCCAGTTCTCTTTGCTTTCTCAGACATTAATGATACTGATCGGAAAGTTTGAATTCCGCTCTTCAACGCTGTCGTGTTTGGTTTCGTTGGCATTAAACTATACACACCTTTTTGTTTTTGCTACAGTGTGGCGAATAAGTCAAATGATAAAATCCATTTTCGGCATTTTTCGCACCTCTGTACTACATGCTTCCTCCACCCCTACCCGTTCCGCCACCACTACCCATTTTCCCCCACTCCTTAGCTGAGTAAAGCCGCTCAAAAGTACTCTTTAAATGGTTTTAACAAAAGCAAACTCTATTTTTATTTAGAGTAAATTCTGACTAGTTTACTGTGAAGCTATCATTAATTACTTAAATTAAATAATTTTTTTGTAACTTTAATTCCCTACTTTCCTGCTAAAAATCGAACCATTGTTTATATAAACACGATAGTAATTTTTTTTTTTTTTTATAAATATTACATTTTGACCTAGGACTCCATCTGGACAAACGTCTAACTTGGAATCCTCATACCAGACTGAAACGACAAGAAACAGCTCGACGTTTCCGATTACTTCAACACTTACTAGACAAACGCTCTAACCTTCCAATTAATTATAAAAGACTCATTTACATGACTATAAATAGGCCTATTTGGACTTACGGTTTTGAGCTATGTGGCTCCACTAAACCTTTAAATTCCTCTCGCATCCAATCTTTACAATCCAAAATCCTTCGTAAAATCCTCAATGCTCCTTACTTGGTTACAAATAAAATTATCCATAATGACCGTAATGTTCCTTATGTATCAGATTTGGCCCAATCCAGATATCTGTCCTTCCATAATAAACTTCATAACCATCCCAACCCTCTTGTTTCTAACCTTGCTTCCTATTCAATTCCTGATAACGCTCCGAGGCGTCTGAAAAGAAGATGGCCACGTGATCTTCTAATATAGACATATTATTAGAGTGCTACCAATGGGTAGTTTCTCAACATGTGTTTCATGTCATTATATCCATGTGCGAATTTACTAGATGTATTTTTTTGTATACAGTTGTAAATATCATATAAATAAATAAATAAATAAAATACATTTTGAAATTCGTGAGAGAATAAATTTTTCCTACATTTCTCTTTTCTTTAAATAGGTGTTTTTGTCACTTTTTTCAACCATCCAAGGGAGGGCGCGCAACGTGGCAGATTTCGCTAGTGCTGGTCACCATAGTAATTTTTTTTCAGTAAGAAATTCGTGTATGAGGATGAATTTGCCCGATATTTCTGTTTTCTTTCATTAGGTATTTTTTTCGGATTTTTTTTTCCACCATCCAGGCTAGGCCCCCCCCCCTCCCCCCGATCCCCTCCCCGGCAGAATTCGCTAGTGCTGGTCACGATAATTTTTTTATATATTACATTCGGAAATTATTGTATGAGGATGAATTTTGTTTACATTTCTCTTTTCTTTAAATAGATGTTTTATGTCACTTTTTCGGATTTTTTTTCCACCATCCAAGGGAGGGCATGCCCTCTGGCAGAATTCGCTAGTGCTGGTCACGATAATAATTTCTTTTATATTATATTAGAAAATTCATCGTCTTTGAGGATGAATTTTCCCTCTACTTCTCTTTTCTTTCAATAGCTGTTTTTTTGGAACTTTTATTAAACATTTTTTTTCAGCTTCCAGGGAGGGGCGCACGCCCTCCCCCCTCCGCCTGGATCCACTAGTGCCGACAGATAAGTAAGGGATATGGGGGTAATGCTATAACAAAACGTACAGCTCAAAAATGGTTTGTCAAATTTCGTTGCGAAGATACTATAATCGTAGATATAACCCGCAGCGGTCGGTAGCCCATCGAGGTTGATTCGAATGATATCAAGGATCTAATCGAATAAGACCGGTCGCTATAGATACGAGAAATTGCGAGGACATGGAAAATATGTTTTGGGACCGTTCAAAGGCATTTATAACATCTAGGCTACGTGTCCCGCCTCGATGTTTGGGAGCCACACAAACTGACGAACACAAACCAGGACAACCGAATATCAATCTGCAACTCTCTTCTGAACCGGCAAGAGACGGATTAATTCTCAATCGAATAGTGACAGGTGGATCATCTACGACGATGTGCAGGAGATCGTGGACAACCCCGTGCCACTCCGAAGACCGGAAAAGAGTTTGCTGTCTATAGGGAGGGGTTAGCGCAGTGTGCTATTTTACTATTATAGTCGCTTCCACCAGGAAAAATGATTTATTCGATGATCTAATGCACACAGCTAACGAAATTGGACCAAGCATTTAACTAAGCAGAAAGGCCCAGAACTATTCAATCGCAAAGATGTTATATTCCACTATGATTACACTACATGACTAATAGAAGTGCAATTTGGCTGGAATGTTTTATTACAACCACCGTATTCACCAGGCCTTGCAACATCCGACTACCGCTTATTCCGGTCCCTCCATAAATCCCTCAATGGGAAATCGTTCGCTGTTAAAAGATAAACATAAAAAACATGTTTTATTTCACAATTCAAAAAACCGAACGAACTTATGAATACACCCAATATGTAGATTTATCGTATTAGTTATAAAATATTACTGATTTAAGTGTAATCCTTACTTAACTTCTTTTTGAACTTGCGCCAAATGAGCCTGTCCACTTTTGAGTTGGCCTTATCCTGCTGATAAGTCCTTTCAATCCTCGCGTTCTCATGCTCCGTCATGAAGGTGTAACCGGACCACTTCTGGTTCAGAGGGTTGTCCGATATCCGTGAGAACATAGATATCGTCTTCATGGAGTCCTTGGCGATCGTCTTCGGTCTCCATTCCTTTGGCAGATCCTTTTTTTCCTACAGATTCATGCAAAGTTATGAAAATGTTGACTGCCATCTTTATAGCTTAATTCAGTCGCCGTCAATTTTAAGAAGCTAAAGAGCGAAATTCACAATTAAAAGAATTAGGCAAAATTTTATTATATAATTTTTACTATAATTAATAGAATACCTAATACAATTTAATATTTAAATTTATGTGAATAATATATAGCTTATAACTCAATCAGTAAGTATTATAATTGATGTGAACAATGTGCTTTCATTTCTATTTCAAATTTTATTGGGTTGGGAAACAAATCCTTTCGGTTTTTCAGAATGAAACAAAATCGATGATTATATATATTCCTTTCGATTCATAGAGTTCTACAGAGAACGGAATAAGTAGTAGTCAGTTGGAGCAAGGTTTGGTCAAGAGGGAGGCTGGAGCAAAAAGTTCCTAGAAATACGCGTTGCCAACTTGACTGTAGACGCGGGATCCGAACATCGAGCCTTGAAACGTGTAGCTCCGAATGTGCAGATGGTTTACTAAGCTTGTCTGCGACACATACAATAACATCTGTAGTACATTCTTAGCAATTTACATTGTTTAGGAATAAAGTCATGGAGAGATGAAACGGTGTCGTTGACTTTATTCAAACTTTTATGAAGTTGTTCCCCACAAAGGATATTCTGAGAGAAATGAGCTATGTTGTATTTAAAAGTACAGCAACTTCTTATTATTTGTAAAAAAAATGTGCGACAACTATTTCAAAAATTAGAAGAATCGGTTTATAACCAGGTATAATAGTCTAGACTGGTCTGTAGATATCACCAATGTTACTAGAATACTATAATTTTCGGCAAAGATATATTTTTATAGGTAGGCCATGCAGCTCTTCGGCCGCACGATGTGGTCTTTTTACAGACGAATATTGTTTGCAAGTGCACGGATAGCCTGGAAAAGGTCACTGACGTCACGTTGCTGCGGACCAAGGTCTCTAGGGTGCAGCTGCACGTCATTTCTAGCACCACACAGTGGACGCAAAAGACACAACAACAGCAAAAACCATTAAAAACTAAATTAAAAACATAGACATTTGAATTATCACAATACCTTAAAAATAGGGGATTTTGTCGCTCTCAGGCCACTGTGCACCGTGGCCGATCTCTGAAAAATCGGTCCTGATCCATGGATTATGGCCGCTCAGAGTCAGAAGGCATTTGTGGACCTATATGGTCGGTAAATATATATGAGAAAAAAATTGCAGATCCTCATTAATATCTTTAAAGAGCAACGTTAGTCATTTCCTACCCTAGTTGAATGATGGGGAACCATTATAGAGGCTTTAACCGATTATCAAGATTGAGCTGCATTCTACATTCCGTTGTAGCTGCATTCTAAGCGATGTATAGTGCACTAGTAAATCCGAATGACTGATAGTTTCTCTGGTTAAGAGTAGGCTTCAGAAATTCAACTGTATTGTAATCAGACGATTTAATCGAATTTAACATTTACAATGCCCTTTCCTCTCTTAGTATAACACCTGATCTCCATTGTTTCCTTTGTTTGGACTGGATTGCGTTGTCGTAATATGGTATATATTCTCATCATTATTATTCAAACTGAGATACTGAACATCATTAGAGTAATCCACTAAATTTTGGAGTACACTGACGCTTGCTTAACGACTTGGGTACGGACATTTTTCTGCATACTTGAAATTCAAAAACATCTCTAACGTTCGCCTGGAAAACGACCATGTGCCCACATCCTAAGAGTTTTTACTCAAAAGCAAAAAATCTTTTAAAAAAATAAACTGCGTTACACAGGAATTATTTTACAATTTCATGTATGATATGGGATTGTTTTGCTTACGGCAGGGAGATGGACTATCACCGATGCTGTTCAACTTAGCCCTGGATAAGGGATCCACGTCGGAAAGAATCATAAAATCCTTGGATACGCAGCTGATATAGCTGTCCTTGGAAGTAATCAAGAGGACATTGAAAAACCCGCTACAACACTGATAAGATAGGCAGAGCGGACCGCCCTAGAAGTAAATGAAGACAAAACAAAATACATGATAATAAGTCGAAAATTCCAACCCAATAACAGGATCTGCGTAGAAGGAAAATCATTACCGAAAGTAGAAAAATTCAAATACTTCGGTTCCAGAATAACCTCAATGAATGACCAACTGGCAGAAATAGATCAAAGGTTTAGTATAATTAGCGCAAACAGAGCTTTCTTCTCCCTCTAAAAGGAAAAATCTCAAACTAAGGGTGTAAAATGCTATGTCAGTCCTAATGTTCAGTTGTGAGACCTGGACACTTACCAGCAACCTAGAAAAAAGCATTGAAAGATTTGAGAGGAGAATCCTCCGCACGATAACCTGAGCGATTTTGGATCAAAGTATCAAGGCATGGAGAAGGAAGACCAACTGCTTAGAGAAACTGGTCAATCAATATTCCATTATATGAAGACACGGAGGTTAAGACAGGAGGGTAGCTCATTGCAATTCTCTACGTAACAATGAATGCCTCAATATAGGGCTAAAGACCACGCGGAAGGCAACAGAGCTGTATGCAGATAAAATTAAAGAAATAACCCAAAAAAGGCAGAGATGAAACAGGCTTGTTAAGGCGACAGATCTGCATGGTCTGTAATGCCAGCGGAAAAAAATGGGATTGTTTTTCAACCTCGGACTTACTGCGCTGGCGTAATTCTTAAAATTTAAACAATACCTGTCAAAACATCCTTAGGGATTACTCCATAACAATAAATATAACAAAGAACTAAAACATTGATCAATCATTACTTGGTCGTAAAAGTGCCGTAAGTTGTATTCATTGGTTTCCAAAGTATAGTGCTTCTCCTCATACTTCGTAAGCAAAGGTGTTTCTTCAAATACGGACTTCTCCGGTGCTTTGCAATGACGACAGTGCTTGCCAGTAGGACGTTTGCTGCCTCTGACATTCATTTTTACACTAATAAATACAACAGTTTATTAAATTTAGCCGTGATCAAATTTTGTCTGATGAGCTAACCGAAATTTAATTTGACCTAAAAATTAGCTAAATTTACAGATTATCGCCATAATCATACGTGTGTAAAATCTCAGCTGACATTTTTGTCAACTTGTTTCTGTTTAAATATCTTACAATCCCTAAGTGCTGGTGAATATATACCACAGAACGTGAAATTGACATGATTGCGTTGTTGAAAAAATCTTTATTACTTCCATAGTTTCTAAAATTGGATTAGACAAATTTGATAAGATGAAGATTAGGCAATCGCAATGTTTTTCATCACTTCATAATGGACCACGCTGAATTAGACGAAATGGCAGGTGCGTAGGTGTGAATATTGCAAAGGTTCAACATTTACATATCTCGACGAATTATACCTCTTTGCATTCTACTGTTTTTCTGATTATTCGTTAAGATCCGTTGTCGTGTGCACTCTCGAACGTCATTTATTAGTACAAGCATTCTTAGATATTTTTAAAATTATTATTACTCTAAAATAGTAAACCCGTGCGAAAACTCATATTTTAACTTGTACATTACAAGTACAAGTGATATAACACTAGTGGATCCAGAATTTCATTTGGGGGGGGGGGGAGGCTCACTCCGAAAGCTTTTCTTTTTTTAAAGTAAATTTTATTCTAGGATATTTAGTTACCTCAGAATAACTATAATGAACAACAAAATGACAATGTTTGGTAATTATGAATAATTAAAAATAAATTAATTTACAGTTGTCTATCCGTAATATTAAAATAAAGAAGAGACACTATAGTAAATATATGATCTTGGAGTAGACATATGAATTTAAAGCAAATACATAAAAGTGAGTTCACGTTCACTAACTACCTATATGAAATGGTGTTTAAGTGATTCTTTAAGTACTATTGAATGTAATTACACAAACAATAATACTTTTAGAGGTAAATTTTAAATATTTTTTTGATAAGACATGTTCATATATTTTTTCAGCCCAAAGCTATTTTCACTTACCTGTATATAAAAACACCTAAAATATAAAAATATTTCTACTCAAGGTAGGGTGGTAAATGGAAATTTTGTGATAAGACGGACAGCACCTGCATTTACTGTTACTATTGAGTTTAATTTTATTCTTTGCTAGATGTGCGATATTCCTTGTTTTTCTCTTCCTAATTATACATGAAAATTTATTTAAAACAATAACACTTTCATTTCGTTATCACTGAAGTATTTTAATTTCTCATTTACTGAATACATCTATCAGGCAGGAATTAAATGGTAACATGAATAAATTACTTCCACACTTGTTAATAAATCAATTATTATCCTTTTCTAGGTATTTTATAATTCAGGGTTAAGTGGCCAAACTGAAAATATGAATTAAGGACCTAAAAACAAGAAAAATAATTCCTCTGAAGGTATGCCAATTTATGGAATTCCCTCCCTATCAAAATTCGACATTCCCCATCCATATCCACATTCAAAAACCTTCTATTCCAATTCCTATCCCAAAAACAGTCAGATAGTTGCTAACCATTCGAACTGATTTTAATAGGAAATTTGATATATTTATATTTTTTAATTCTTTATTATTTTCTTAAGAGTATATACTATCAGTGCAAATAGCTTAAAGTGTCTTGTCATAGTATTAATTGTTTTGTATATAGTTTTGTTTATAGAATGTTTACCTTATTTTCTTTACATTATTTCTTTTTTTCGATCGATTTTATTTTGGCCAGATGTAATCTTTTTATTTTGTTATTCTCAAGGGACTGTGTCCCAGAATAAAATTATTTTTCTATTCTACTGTATTCTATGTCCGCAGACGCTTAGTTTAGAAGATATTCACACTTAAAGATTTTCATTGTTATTTATTATTTACGTTATATTAAGTAAATAAAAGTTATTTATTTGTTTTAACTACATTAGTAATTAAATGGAAACATTAACATTCATATTAAATGTTGTTCAAAGTGATTTCCTTGAGCATTAAGACAGGCTCGGCATCTTTCTTTCAGCAGTGGCAGAACGGCACTGGATATGTGTTGTTGTTCAGAAGATTCAATTATCCTTCTTCGTAAGGAATTAAGGTCATTGACCAGACTTGCATAGACTTTTTGTTTAACGTTACTAAACAAAAAAATCCAGTGGTGTCAGGTCTGGAGAGCGTGCAGGCCAAGCCACTAGTCCTACACGGCCAATCCATTGATTGGGATAATTAACATTTAGCCATTGTCGTGGGCCTCTTCCGTAATGTGCAGGACAACCATATAATTGAAGCCACATGTCCCTTCTCAGTTAGAATGGAAGATGTCAACTAAATCATAGTAATCTTATTAAGAAATTCCAGAAATGTGCCCGCATTGAGTCGAGGCAGCATATGCAGACCTATTAAAATACAGTCTATTATCGCCAACCACGCATTGCACTGAAACTGGTGCTGAAAATGATGCTCACGAATTGCATGGGGATTTTCCTACGACCAGAGATGATTATTTTTCTGATTGAAGATACCTCTTCTTGTGAAGATAACTTCATCTGTCAAGAGAATTTTTCCTGAAAATTGTGGATTATGAAAAACATTTAATATGAATGTTAATGTTTACGTTTAATTAATAAAGCAGTTAGAACAAATAAATAGGTTTTATTTATTTCATATAACGTAAATAATTCATTCATAATTCTTTAGATGTGAATATCTCCTAAACAAAGTGTTTGCGGATATACCTTCAGAGGAAATTATTTTATTGTTTTGAGGTCCTTAGTTCATTTTTGCAGTTTGGCCACTTAATCCTGAAACAAATTCTGCGCAATAAGGAGCACTAACCAGGAAATAAGCAATAACTAATACTAAGCAGGAAAAAAAGGAAACATTAAAATAAAACATTCACATACAAAATTAACATAAATATACTTTATTAATATATTAATATTTTATTTACAATAATAAATAGTTCTTAATTGTTAACGTAAAGCTACAATAAAAAACTGTATAGTAACAATAAAGATATATATTTACATACAATACAAATAGTTTCATATAATACAATTAATTATTTTCTTTCATATAATTAACGCAATTATAATGATCTACATACTTTTAAAACAATATAATATAATAATCTAAAAAACAGCTATGAAATTTACTAAAATTATTTTAAGTACAATTGTACTATTTGGCTTAGATTTTGGCAATTTTTAATTTTCAATCATACCTATAATACACGTATCCTTAATAATTGAATTTTTCAAGCGATTCGCAACAACACAAAATTTAATAAAATATCTATCTTAAATTTGGTTCAAATTTGTAAGTTTAGAAAAAACAAAGAAACATAAAACATTCCTTAAGGAGTTGAAAATAATCTTTAATAAAAATAATAATAATAAATAAATATTATAAAGATCGGTGCTGGTTGCTAGATGAAGAGTTAATATTTTACTTTCGCTTAATTAAAAACAAACTTTATTCCAGGACTTAAAATAAATGTATTACCGTTGCCCATTTAGTTAGATAAAAAACTAGTTTTAGGTTAAGTTTATTCCAAACCTAATTTTAACCACAGTCCGGTTAGGTACTACCAAGACTTAAAAAAAAAAAAAAAGGCATCTTAAAGTGAAATCAACTGAACAAACTAATGCAGAAGTTAATTTCTTTCTAATAAATCTAGTTTCACTTTCTTAAAATTATAAATTAAATCTGAAATACCCATATTTGAAAAAATTAAATAAGTAGGCAAATAAAAGCATATTTTGAGAATTTTCGTTTTTTTTTTTTTTTTTTTTTTTTAATCTCTAGTAATTAAAAACAAAGAAATATCACTAGAATTTTGTTTTTCAAGTTGTTCTATGTGAGATTTAACCTGTTATCATGTCTCGATAAAAAACAAAAAACTGCGTAAAATGAATTAATTAAAATTTTTTTGGGATGTAAGTTAACTATAACCAACCTTTATCTAACTCAATTAGAAGAATAAGATTCATTTAATCAAACTAACCTATTTTCTTTCTTTTTCATAACTAACTTGAAATAATACAATAATGACAACAAAAAGTATAGTTTAATTTAAAATTATTAATTATACACGAAGATTAATAAATGCTTAAAAAAAAAAAATGATAAAAAATAAAGTTAAAAATATTAAAATAAATACCATTTGTTCAAAAAACAAATAGGTCAGTGGTTAAAAGGTATCAAACTTGAGAAGAAAATAGTTATTCGCAAAAGAAAAATAAATAAACCAATAAAAGAAAATATTTTTAAAAAAAAAATTCTCAATATATCAACTTACCTGACTATCGTTAACTCTCCTCTTAACATTGAAATAAAATTACAAAAAAAAAAAAAAATAATAATAAATAAATTTAATGAATATCTATGTTTAGTTTTTATGTATTTATGAAATGTTTAGTTCTTATGTTTTAAATTTGGTTACAAATCTAAACTTAATATTTTAGTGAATCGGAATTATAAGGTTTTAGAAATAGGCCATCGAGAGCTAAATTACATAAACTAATGTTCAATATCTTATAAGTTTATTTATTTCAACAACGGTCATTCTTTTAATGTCACTTTATAGAAACTTTTTATTTTTCGCATTATATTTTAAAATAATTCCTGAAAATCCCGAGAGGCATCTGAAAAGAAATTGGCTCCATGACCTTACATTCAATATAATTACCAAACTGAATCTGTTACTGACTACTTAAAACCTAAACATATCATTCATTACATATTTAGTAAGTTTATTGGTTTATTTTGAGAAATAAATTTCTAAATAGGTTAAGGAGCAACATTTTTGTTTTTAAATTATTTGAAAACCGAAAGTAAAATAACTAAATAAAATTTATAAAAAAATATATAAATTTAATTTCTTTAAATAAAAAATTGATTAGATCACTGTTGGTCTCAATTAGTTCATATAATCGAAGCCCTTTGCATCATTACATATTTAGCAAGTTTATTGGTTTATTTTATTAAAAAACTTTTTAAAATTTTGAAGTTGTTTTAAGTATTTTTGAGTATGTGAGTATTATAAAAAGTACTAATGGCAAATTATTCTATTTTGAGAAATAAATTTCTAAATGAGTTAAGGGGCACCATTTTTGTTTTTAAATTATTTTAAAACTGAAGTACAATAACTAAATCAAATTTATAAAAAAAAATATATAAATTTAATTTTTTAAATAAAAAAATTGATTAGATGGCTGTTGATCTCAATTAGTTTATATAATCGAAGCCCTTTGTCTGAGTTCAGCAACCTTTTCAGAAAAGGCAATACACCATATTTACTTCAATAGTATATTTTATAAACGAAAACTAATGAAATGCATGGTTCCAATTTAACATATAACATTGATATAATTAGAGGAAGCAAAAAAAATTAAGATTCATTCTTATACAGAAAACAAACAATTTTTGTTTCCTTGAATTTAATGACTTTTGATAATAGAACCTACAGCGTCCTTTTGAAAGGACAATAAGTTTTCCTAGGAGGACTCATAATAAAGATAGTACAGTGTTTTTTCTGTCCTGGCAGGACGCTGATACCAGAAATTCTGATTTAATAAACCATTTTTATAAGAAATAGAAAATTCCAAAGTTAGCTTTCTAAACAAAAAAAAAATTAAATTAAATTGAATATTTAATAGTTGACCATTGCATTATAAAGGAAGGAGATGGTCCGGGAGGGGGAGCGGTCATAAAAAGGCTAAATAGCGGCAAAACTATTTTTATTAAAAGCCAACGTTTCGACCCGAATTTGCAGCTCTTCTTCAGGGCTAGAACGGTCAAGATACAAAAAGATATAGAGAATTGTGGAAGTTACATAATATTAAGACAAAAAATTATAAACGATGTGAATAAGCTTATTAAAATAATAAACAGTAAGTACATTAAAATACAAATAGAGTAAGCTAAGTAACAAAATCCTTAGATCTGTAGAAGTATATTCACATTGGCATATATTATATATTTCACTACAAAAATTGTTACCATCTATTTACTTCAGTTTTGGATCTTGTTACTTAGCTTACTTTGTTTATATTTTAATGTACTTACTGTAATTTTAATAAGCTTATTCACATTGTTTATAATTTTTTGTCTAAATATTATGTAGCTTCCTCAATTCTCTATATCTTTTTGTATCTTCTCCGTTCTAGCCCTGAAGAATACCTGCAAAGTCGGGTCGAAACGTTGGCTTTTAATAAAATAGTTTTGCCACTATTTAGCCTTTTTATGACAGCCACTCCGGACCATCTCCTTCCTTTAAAATAAAATTAAGCTTTAATGTCAGAAGGAGCATTATTGATAACTTTACTTTTTTATAAACAATTCTAAATTCAAACAAGATTCGTCAAGAAACATGGTTGTATAAGACCTTTATTTATTTTTTCTTTCTAATTATATGTTTGAAAAATTAATAAAACTTAAATTATCCCAGTTATAATCACTATTCACACTGTTTAGTTGTTTTAAAGTATTAAAAAAAATATTCTTTGATTATTTATTACATAAAAAAAAAATATTATATGAGCTTAACAATATGGAATAAAGAGAGAGCTGTAGTTGGTTGCCAACCTTTATTCTATTAAAATTGTGTATTCATATCAAGTAATTAAACAGCAAAAACATAATTATTATTAATTTAATAAAACTATTGTATATCATTTGGAGATTAAAAAAGGCTTGAGAATGAACGTCTTCCAAAGATAGCTGCTGTGTAAAGTTTGTTCTAAAAAAAATTCATATCCACCTATTCAACCAATTCTTCCTAAAATCATTAAAATTTATAGAATTAAAATTATTGTCGTTATTTCTTTGCCAAGCTTTAACTAAACTACTAATTATACTATTTTTTATTGAGCCTATATAAAATCTACAGTAATCCCTAATTATCAAGAAACCAGTTAATATGAAACGTAAAATAATACTAACTAATTTTATGACGGCATCAAAAGTAATGTATTTTAAAAACAAATTTATAAAAAAATACCTGCTTACCAAAAATTAAAAATTGGATACAAAAGTGGATTGTGGTATCATGTCAGAAATTAAAATTTAATTTACATTAAATTATAAATTTTGTGTCCTTGTTTTTCTTTTTTACTTCTTTCCCTCCTATTTAGCTCGCTCCTTCTTGTCCCCAAAAGTTAAAATCTACAAAACTATTATCCTTCTTACAGTTATTATGAATATGAAATGTGGAAGCATATATAAAGGGCTAAACTATATCTTAAGGATTTTGAAAATAAAGTAATGCATAGAATAATATATAAAGTATTGCGGTGACACTGCTAGACTAGAGAATGTTAAAGCAGGCAATGCTCTAACATGCACGGCTTTCACAATCTCCAAATTGTATGAACTGTATATGGTTAATATAACTGAGATGACAACATTACGACAAATAAAATGGACAAGTAAAATTGTCAGGTTTAAAAGAATTTCTGAAATGTTAATTGGCGCTGACTAAGTAGTTACGTGACCGAGGAATAAACCAAAATGAAGGTAGAAACATAGCATTAAGGCTGACCTGATGGGTTGGGTTCGGAGGTTGGAAGTATGGACAGAAAGATTAGCGGTATCGACATCGATCATTCAGGTCCCCTCTCACATTTATTACAAATTCAAGCCAAACACATGTATTAATTTTAATATAAAATTTAATAAAATGAAAATAAATACGTATAGAAAAAAATTTATTTTATCGGAAAAGATTAACACCTCATTTGACACGAATTTGGTCCGCAACCAAATTTATGTTAATGGGAAATTACTATAAAAAACTTTCTGCAGCTGCTGCTTCCACTGTTAAAACCATTGTTTCCAAAACAATCAAGAGATATCAATGAACACTAATAAATGGTATGTATTATATCACAGGTAACATATTCAATAAAAAAAAAAGTGTAAAAACAAGTATTATTTAGCCAAAATTAAAAAAAAAAAACATTTCTATTCAATAACATAGAAATGTATAGCTAAAAAAAGGTCTACAGCAACCATAATCAACGATAGAATAAATATATAATTATCAATAAAAAACAGTGACATAAAAATGTAAACCTGAAGCTATATCATAGTATTTATAAGTACAAAATTATAAAAGTAATAAAGAACAGTCATTATTTCATTAGAACAAAGCGTAAGGGGCTTTTGAAAATAGGCCACGATTTATCAGGCTATTTAGTTAAAATCAATTTAAAACTATAATGAATAAATCTTAAGTGTTATTAAATATAAAAAATGTTTGCATTCTTCATATAAATTTATACATAATTGAAGTTCAGCAAGCGATGTAAAATTAATAATGAGCAACAAAACTTGGAGGGGACAAATTTTCAAAGTAAGAGGGTTGTTTAAATTTAACACTTATTTTTCTATAAAAAAAGTACAGCCGCACGTGCTTCATATTTCTAAAAATAAGGTAATAAAATTTTAAAATTGTGAAAACAAAAACTTAATCGATAACTTTATCAGTTAGAAGGTAAGAAAGAGAGAGAAAAAAAAAGGATAATTATATTTTAAAAAATTTAAGTCATCTTATTTTTCAAAATTAATCGTTACATTTAAAGACCATAAAAAAATAAAAGAATAATATTGGATATTCAACTCAAAATGATTTTTGATGATCATCCACTGAATTCTGTTTTTGGTTTTCGTCGATAATTATAATGAGCAAATCTTAATAATCATAAATAAAAATAGGAACCAATTATTTAAGTAATTGAATAAAGAAAAAAAGAACATTTTAGAGGAGAAAAACTTATAACACTTTGCCAATAAAATATTTCCAAAATACTGTGAATATTAAAAATATTATTAAAATAAAATGGATAAGTTTCTAAACTCAGCACAAATTAATAAAATTAAGCAGCAAAGTAAATTAATTAATCAGAAAAGCTAAAAATAAAAAAGCTGTCAGTCTAATTAAAGAAGGTACATCAGTTAACAGGTAACTAAAGTTTAAAATTCGTTTAAGAGAAGAAAACGACATCTAAGTTCATTAAAACAAAGTTATTTAATAAAAACAGTTTTAAAAGGAACTATTCGTTACGTGGAATAATAAATCTATATATGTATAAAGTTAATGTTATAAAATGAAAAGATTAAATAAATATATAATAAAAATTTTAAGAAAATTTAACAATTAAATACAAATACTGTATTTGCTTAAATATAGGCTCAACTCAAATATAAGTTGAACTTTGAACGTTGAAAGTTGAACCTTCTCACCATTTTGAAAATAATTTTTGAGGAAAAAATATGGGAGAAAAAAATTTAAACTAATAATAAGAAATCAATTTCTAAAAAGAATCAAATATATTTGAATAAAGAATCTAAATAAAGAATTGTGTTTTAAAGTTTTTAAAGAAATGGATTAATTAGTAGTTTTATAATGAAATGTTTTAATTTGACCATTTCTATGACGCGATATTGTTTATTTTAACCATTTTTCAATTAGACGAATAGTTAAAATTAAAATTAAAGTAATGCATTTAACTTTTTTAAATTGGTTTCCGAGTTGAAGTTGGTTGAACTTTTCTTGATTGTGATTCAAAAGGCATATTTGATTTTTTTCTACTATTTTTTCTTTCTCTGCTTAAACTTAACAAAATACGTTAGGTACACCCAAATCTTAATTTTAAGTACCATTTATGTGAGCTATTATTCTTTTTTTATTATACTTCCTCTCCCCATGTTGTTTGATGAGAAGTGAATGAGTTATCACTTATTATGAATTTAAACTTTACGAAGTTAGAAACAATAATTAAATATGAAGATACTTAAAAGCTTATAGTTTGGTTTAACTAATATTTTTCTAGATCAAATCAGAATACAGGTCAAAATCTCGTTTTTAAATAGAAAATTAACAAAAAAAAACTATAACTAATATAATTACTGATTCACAGGCAATAAAAATTATGATTAAATTTGGGTCTCATTAAGATTTAAAATTAATTAATACAGCAGATTTTTTAGTTCAAATTTATCAATAATTAATCAATTTAGCATTTGAATTTTGTCTAAAATTTCTCTTAAGATATCAATCATAGACTAGACTAAATTGAATAGAACCATCAAAAACATTTATATCTGTAATGTTAAATGTTAATACAGAATAAAATTTTCCAATTACAAATTATAAGCTCTTAAGGAATTTAAATTTAGTATTATTTTTTAATATTTTTTTTTTAAATAATTAAATTATAACGAATAGGAAATAACCTATTTTATGGAGGAATTCAAGCTAAAAAAAATGAAGTTTTATTTAAATTAAGATATTACATGGATTTTTAAACTACAATCAACAATGGATGTATTACTTTTTTTATGTTTTTAAGTCTTTTTTTCATTTTAAAATATATTGACTCATAAAATAATTGTAAAATATTATCAAATTATTTTGTATAGACTAAAAAAACAAAAACATTTTATTGGTAATTGGTAAAATAAAAAATTTCTCGGCTACATAAAATAAAATGGTTCTTTTAGATAGAATCTGAAATTGATACTTGTCATAGAATATTTTATATTTAAAAAATGTTCAAATATATTAGAAGTATGATTCATTAATTTTGTTTTTATTCTTTTATTATTTATTTATTTTTTATTATATATTTATTAGAGATTTACAAAAATTAAATAGCAGAAGGGAGAGGGGATTAAATTGGTCAAGAGTGATTATTTTGCAAATCAAATTTAAAACTGAATCCAAAAAGAAAAATATTAAGACAATTTACAGTTATTTTAAACATATAAAACAATAAAATAAACCTCTACATATACAACCCATAGAGGGTCTTGGGTTCAGTATTATATAAGGAAGTATTGTTTCTTGGTCTATGGTTATGCAGAGAGATGATTTGACACGAGATCACATTCAACCACCAGGTTTTCCCCAAAATTAATAAAGAGGACCCACTTTATAGAGACTCGGTGTGCCCCAAGAAGGTTCACTGACACCAACAAACCCCACAGCTGATGTAACAGACTAAAAATTACCTGTCACCAGCCGGATTAAAACTCGGGACCTTGAATATTAGAAATCAGTGCCCTACCCACTGAGCTACCCCACTATCCTATACAAACATAAAATAAATATAATTATAAAACTTTAAGAAAATTATAAAACATTGAGTCAAGATGATTTAGAATAATAGAGGTACAATTTTTATTTGAGATACATTAACTCAAATAAAGACGATTTAAGAAAGGAAGGTAAAACATAATTCTATGTTTGGCACCTTTTAATAATTTGACAAAGTTAAAAGCGTGAATAAATATACTAATAGTGTATATTTTTATAAATTTAAGTCAAAATTTCGTTAAATCTAAATTTTTTTTTTCTTTGGTTAATTAACACAAAAAAACTGTTTTCAAATTTTTACGCATTAAATAAAAAAAGTGAGAATCCTATATTTCATGCATATTTGGTCCAAGATCCCTAATAACTATGAAATAAACAAAAAAGTTTAGCTGCTAAAGCCAAATATGTGAAAATACGTAGTTCCCTTTTGAAAATAGAGAAATTATTTTAGGAGGATTGAAAAACAGATGTATTTACTATTTAAGACTAACGATCATATCAATTCCAGTATTAAGTCATCAATACATTATTATATATTGTAAATAATTTATCACATTTTCATCTATAAAATACCGGTAATAAAAATCTAATAATCCTATTAAAATCAGAATTTTCAAAAAATAAAAAATAATCGGAAATAGCCTCTTAGCTAAACTACACTTATAGTAATTATACTAAAAAATAAAATAAAAATAAACAACAAAGCTTTAAAAGGAAACAAAATCTACTCAAATAATACTGTTACTCCTACTCTATAATAGGGCGCTAGAGAAACCGATATTTTGATTTAGTCCCTTTGAAAGAAAAGTAATAATGAATTAATAATAATAATAATAATATGTATATATATATATATATATATATATATATATATATATATATATATATATATATATATATATATATATATATACAACATATATAAGTTCATATATTCCGATATTCACTCATTCAGATGCTACGCTTATTATAAAAATAGTTTCTGTTAGTATAAAAGTGGTTCTATGCGTCACAATGAAGATTTTACATCACTAAATATTTTTTGTAAAAATAAACTATGTGACTTCGTGAACACTGAAGAATGAAATGATTAAAAGTTCGTTTGACTTATATTTTTTAATCATCTCCGATGAAGATTTTGCAGGCGCCTTTACTCTACATTTCTCTGTAAAATACAGAAACTATGAATAATAAATAAATTAGAAAAAATTAAACAGTGTTTGTTACAAAAGGAGCTACAGAACTAGTTCTTTAACTCAGCGTTGAACTCATTGATGGATTTCAGCACATTTTTTTTTTCATCCATGGATCCATCCGAGCCATCGGTGATTCCATCAGGTATTGCGGTTGATAGATCCACTGGATGTAGCTTCAATGTCGTAACTTCTCAATTTACTTTCCATATTTATATTCAGTTTACTTTCTATATATATTTGTTTCTGTTTAGGAATTCAACAATTCATTAGGTACCTATTCCATCACTTATATTTTTTTATTTTTCATGTATTTTTTATAATCCTTCCACAGGAATCCAGCAGATCTTTCCTAAACTGAGCCCAATTGGTGCTGTATTTAATCAATAATTGAATTCCATCAATGAAATTAGCGCTGAGTTTAGGAACTTGACCAAAATATTTTAAGAAAAAATTCATCCAAATAATAGAGGAGTGTTAATTTACTTTCATATTCTAATAATAAAAAAATATAGTTCCGTGTTATAAGAAGTGCAAGAAGAAAAAAAAAAAAACAAGTTACTTTTTGAAGTCAAAACTTCTTTTTGCACTTCTTTTGTGGAGAATGAATTAGATTGAGCTGTAAGATCTCTGATGTGTAACGCTCGGGGTAAAGTCGGCTGGAGTCGACGAATTGAAGTGTTTTTGCGTATGGATTAAAATATCTCATAAACTAAAAATCGGAACTGCACACCATAAGCAAGGGAATTGTCCAGCTATTCATCCTCTCTGTAATGGGCTATTATTCAAAATTGTACCTTGTATAACTCAAAATTGTTAATACGCCGCGTTTGAGAGGCAAAAAGTGCAAAATTGTATCGAAAACTAAATGATGACGAGTTTTATTAAATATATGGATTAAAATATCGTAGAAACTAAAAATCAGATCTTCATACTGTAAGCGAGGGAAATGTTCAGCATTTCATTCTCTTTATAATGAGCTATTATTTATAATTCTTAATCTCGCCATGATGTTTTCACTTCTATCGTGTAGTCTAAAGCACACATTTAGTTTTATTTCTTTTTAAATGACATTTCGATATAAATGTATTCAGATAAAAGCTAAAATATAATTGTGAACCTCATCGATTTGGAATGTAAAAATGACATTTGACATTTTTGGAACTTCCTAGAAGAACGTATCTTTCTTTTCATTCGGAGTCAAATTATACAAAAAAATAAAATAATAACTTACCTGGTTTGTTCTTTTACCATTTGAATTTATTATATATGATTCATTATTTTTAATTATTAATATATGAGTTTTATCAAATAAAATTAAATCTATCAGGTTTAACTTTTATACTTTCTCAAAGTTTTTAACAATTAAAAAAAAAAAATGAAATCTTGACAACTAGACTTTCTCAAAACTTTACTGTACTAGTCAAAAACAATTCTCATTATTTTGTTAATGTTTTCCAAAGAATTTTCCACATCTCCAGAACCTCTTAATAATATCCAGTAGCAGACCCATTTCATCATTAAAATTTCCTTCTGTAGTGATAGATATTATTAATACATAAAAGTTAAAAGAGTTTCTTTTTCCTGTACCACTACAACCTACTAGGGGTACTGGGTTCAGTACTGAAGGGTAAGGGTAAGGAAGTACTGTTTCTCGGTCAACGGTTGCGCAGGGAGATGATTTGGCAGAGATCACACTCAATTGCCAGATTTACCCCCTTCATTATTTAATTAATTAAGGCTGGGTGTGCCACAGAAGGGTCTCCCAACTCCAGGATGCGGCTGAAATGAATTAATTATGTACTTGCCGCAATCTAAGTCTTCTTTCATCTCTCTCCTCCCTGTAGTGCTCAGGAACCTAGCAAGGCCTCTTGAATATCTACTCCACCTCTCTTGTGAAAAATTTTGTTCATATGAAATTATGACTGGCCAATTACGTCTCAAATCTAAAGTAGACAATTAGGAATTTTTTTTTAGAAAACTAAACTTTTTTTAGTAATTTATTATTATCAATTTTATTTTATTTTCATAACCGAGAGGAGGTAAAAGTTGATACTTGACATATAATTTTTTTTTCGTTTATTCAGACAAGCTCTGATTTTCTCTACGATAAAGTGAGCTATGGGGATGTAGTTTCTCATAAGTAATTTAGCTTCTTTATTACTATAAACAGCGTGATAATTATCCATATGACACTAACTGTGACATTTCTGGTTAATAAATTTTAAGAAGCAGCAGAACGAACGAGTGCTTGCCAGCCAGATCTTGATCTAGATATATATATATATATATATATATATATATTATAAATAGTAAATAGTATTGGTATGTTTTTCTGTTTAAGTCCATTTTGTTTAAACTTTATTCATTATCCTTATTTTATTTCAACATAATGACCAGTGCTGTTATTGACAATCAAAGATGGATGAATACAGCGACCGTGGTCATTTTTAACGACCAAGTTTACTCCTTCAGGGTTGTTATAAATATTAACCACTGTATATTTATTTTCATTTGAAAAAAATTCATGGCTATCAATTTTTTCCTGATTTCTCCCTGTTTTGAAAATTCCCTGACGTTTCCCATTTTTCAGGTTTTCCACGTCAGTCGCCACCCTGTAGATATTGTTAGTAAGAGGTTCCGAAGATGAGGAAACTTTGGCATAACATTAAAAAAGTAATAATTGGGTTTTTACTGAAAAAATAAAGTTTTAAGGAAGTCCAGTTACCAAAATTTAATCAAATAATAATTTTTTTTTCCGATAATTGGTAATTTTGAATTTGAAACGGAAACATCTAATGTCTAATTAATAAATAACCTGAAGAGAGTGTTACTTGGTAGCCCAGCTGTACTGCGACACGAGAGAAGTCGTGTTATCCACGACCATCCTCCTCATCCCAGGCCAGACCCACACCAGCGCTGACCTCAACCACACCAGGACCCACCTGTTAGTGCAAGAGAAAAAATTTTAATTATACAGATAAGAAATAGTTCACAAAATAATATAGGATAACATTTTACATAGAAAGTTATCTTTCTATTATATGGGAGGATCTATTAGGTTGTACGGAAAATAATGATTTGGCTTTTTCTTCTACTTAACTCTTGTTATAATAAACTGTTAATGTACTCTAGATGACTTATTTCATTTATATTTAATCAGTAACTTACTTTTTCTGTTGCCCACTTATGTTATTATTATAATTTATTTCTCTATATAATTTTATTTGTGAGGTTCATACATTATTTTACTTTTATATAGTCGACTTTCAATAATTCGAACCTGGATAATTTGAATAAATACTGTATTTTGATAGCTCGATAACTCCAAGTCCTTTTCATAACGAGAGAGGTAGAGAATGTTTTATAATTCAAACTAGACTACTTCCCCTCTTTATAATTCAAAATTTTCCTTGTTATATTTTTTAGACGAGACTGTATATAAAATTTATGTAAGCCCATACATATTTTCAAAAATATAACAAAAACTCTTCATAATTCGAAATTTTTGCTTTCCTCTTAATAATTCAAACTTCTTGATAACTCAAAGTCCCGATAATTCAACATTTTCTTGAATTTTGTATTATGCAGAGTCAACTGCATATATTATTTATAACTAATTATCATTATTTCATATATCTTTTATTTTTTTTCTGAATTATTAATATTTATTTTGTTTAAGTATATGGGTGATTCTCAGATTGTGGGCAATTTTTATGATAAAATTTTAATAATTTTGACATCATTTAAATTTTCTAAATATCTAAACATTCTATTACCGCTCAGCTTTATCTGAGCAAATGTCCAAGATCCAAATTGCTTATTGCTTAGTAATTAAAGTAAGTAAAGCTAATAATTTGGTTGTGGGAATGAAACAAGTTTTCAACTTGGTAATGACATTTTCACGTATTTTATTCGGCCAAAACCGCAGTGTAACTAGTATTATAATTTTTGTTTGTTCCAACTGACTTGCTACAAATCATAATCAAATGGGAATTATAATAGATTAAATAATTTGAACAGATAGAGAGATAATATACGCGGTGGTAATGACAATAAATGTACGTATGAAACTTATAAAAAATGGATGCCTAGAGGGAGGCTCCCCAAATGGTCAGTCTATCCGCTGGTGGCTGCCATTTAACTCCATGCCTACTACTATACTCAGAAGAAATTTCCCAACTGTTCCCTCTTTTCAACGCTTAAATATCTGATGTTACGTTTTTTGCTTGGTAATTACATCAAAGTGATGGGACAATGTTTTAAAATACATAAACATACTTCACTGTTAACAAAAGTTAAAAAGCATATATATAATTCGAAATGCCTTAATTATTCATTAGGAATGGAAATAAATTTCACTGTCATTTTGCATACGTTTCAAAAGAAAAAAAAAAAATTGTTTACTAGAAAACTGAGCGTGGGACAATACGTGGTAATGACATTTTGGTAACTTAAGTAATTATAAAATCAAACTATTCTTTAATATTTTAATTTTTATTATTCCATTATGAAGAAATACTCCACCGTACAGCAATGGAGAAAAAAATCAAGTTAGACTTAAATCATCACGTAAAAGTTGTACTGAACTTAAACTTGCCGTTAAAATGAGAATCACCCATATATTATGTGGATGGAAATTTTCAGCAGTAATACTAGTTGACACATACCGATCATTCGCATGGTATATTGGTCAGTAAAAACATAGCAATATAATATGTACATAAGTAAATGTAACGTATTACGAAAGGGAAGAATCGATTTTCTTTTCCTTGGTCGATTATGATGGTTCAGTTAAAATAATAAACCATAACATGAGTACAAATTATAACAGGCTGTGTCTGATTATTTTTTAAGTGAAAACTTCTTTAGGTGCGTTTTGCACTTTTTTTGTGGGAAGTGAATTAGATTGAGCCGTCAGATCTCCGATGTGTAACACTGGTAAAGTCGGCTTGAGTCGATTAATTGAAGAGTTTTTTCTTTTGAATTAAAATAACTCAAAAAATCAGACCAGCATATTGTTAGCGAGGGAAATGTTCATCATTTCATCCTCTTTGTAATGAGCTTTCATTCAAAATTGTATCTTTATTTGATGCCGCCTTAGAGGAGAGAAAAGGGGAAAAATAGTGTCAAAAACCAGATGATAACGAGTTTTATTGAAGATATGGATTAACATATCTCAGAAACAATAAATCGGACCTGCATACTGTAAGCGAGGGAATTAATCAACATTCCGTCCTCTTTATAATGAGCTATTATTTATAATTTATATTTCTGTTATTAATCTCACTTTGTTGATGTTTTCACTTCTATTGTGTGGTTTAAATCACATACATTATTTTTTTTTATAGGGAATATAAGAACCTTGCAAACTATCATGCTTATATCAACTACTAGTTTGTTACAAAAGTGTTTGTGTATAAACACAACCATTAATTCCAACTCTCATAATTAAAGTTTATTAGAATGTTTTTGTTCCTACTACTTATGTTAATGTTTACATAATCCTTTAATTCCCAGTGACTAGACTTGGAGCAATATCTTTGAAGAGGAGGAAATTATTAAGTATACCAAAACAAATGGACTGAATCTTTGTTAATATTCGTCCGATTATTACAATTTTTTTGTTTTCTAGATAATTTAGTAATCTTTCTAATTATCATGGGTGCAATCCAGAAAAAAAAAATGCATAACTTTTTAAGTTATTCACATATAAAGTTTCTTTTTCTTTATAACTTTTTTCCCTTGAATTTCGGGGGTATGTGACTATTTTTCCTACCTGAAGGTGAAGATCTTTAAAATGAGGGCTCAATTATTTTATGAATTTATGGTGTTATAACAAAAAAACACCTTTTAGAAATAATATATAAGATGGCAAAAAATTACATCAATCTTTCCATAATATAAACATCAACTAAAACATTTTTTATTTTAAAAATATTTTTATTTTCATCACAGAAACCATTATGGTTTTTTGGTGGTAGTCCAACTTGATAAATATCTATAAACAAACCTGGAAAATGTGAAACATGAGAGACCTTTCTTGGAATTGAGTCAGCTTTGATTGGACTTATCTTTTGAAATTTGACACAAAAATAAATGAACAGACCTATAAGTTAATAATTAATTATATAAAACAGGTAAAAATATATAAATTATTCTATTGAAAATACAATTTAAAAATTATATATTCAAGATAATGAAGTTTTTAGAACACCACACAGTGATCAAAAATAAGTTTTATCGGAATAAATTTAAATTACTAAAAACAATATAAATAGTATTAATAATAAATATTTACCTGCAGAGATCTCCTCTAAACAGGAAGTGGCCATAGTGCTTCACATAGTCAGTAAACATAGCATTAAGGAAATTATAAAACAACATTGTTGAAAATATTAGAAAAATAAGAAAACAAAAAGTGAATTAGAAGAACTATTTGCTCACAAAATAAATATAATTAATTTTTAAGAATATACAACCTATTTTTACAAAGTTTGATCATAATAAGAGTAATTTATGATATTGCAAAGAAACTATTTTATACTAAGGGATTATTTTGTATTACGTATTTGAATATAAAAATTATAAAGATAAAAATTCATTTTTTTCTCATCAGACAAACGTCCTGAATAAATATAATTCTTCTCAAGATACTTGCAAATGATATTTAATATTTGAAATTGGGAGCATTAATAGATGACTGTTCATCCAATGACCCTTTTTTTTATCTTTAAGATGGAACAATTCAACTATTGTTAAAATATTTTCCTTATGCCAAATATTAGAGAAAAAAAATTAGAGTAAAATGTTGTTATTGATGAGCTTTATACCTAAAAGGCTAATGATGGCCTTTATTTATTATTTTTATTATTCATTATTTCATGGGCCATTAAAATCTGTATAATATTCTGAATGAGATAATTAGTAAGGATGTGCATAATAATTGAGCACTACAATATTTCATTATATAGAGGTGATACATTCCAAAAATAACGTCTGAATATGGATTGAAAATATCCGTGCTCATATTGCCAATAATTTTGCGCCGTTCAGTTTGCAATATGGGACGGACCTGGCATTGCCTTGGAGGAGGATTATCTCTCTCGTTGGTATCAAAGTTTGCAGCGATATGTATCCCTCACCTCATTCAACAGCATACAGTAGTAAGTAGTACTGATTGAGAATCATTCATGCGAAAAATCAAAAAAATGTTTCAAAAAATATTTTGAAGAACTGGCTGTCGAGTCTTGGCTTTCACTGGAGCTACATTCTCTTTCCTCCACAACTCCTTATTGGCTTGTTTGAATTTCGGAAATGCAGAGGTGCGCCCATATTTTATCGCAGGTGACAATCCATCTCGCATATGCGCCTTCTTCTGCAAACCTAGAAGTAAACCTCTGACAGATCTTCACACATCTAAACTTCTGATTTTCGGTCAAAAGGGGAGGAAAACATCTGGCACACACTTTACACAACAGTAGATTGTTTGTGATAACTGCATGACAGCTCAAGGATCCAAACACGGGCCACCTTATTCAACAGTACGATCCAGTTGCTGGGGTATGCATATGACTTTGAGATAGCTGCCAGATCTGAGTGAGCCCTAAAAGAAGCATTCCTAACTCTAGAACAAGAAAACAAAATTCTTGGCTTGGTCATCAACGAAGCCAAGACAAAGTATTTGAGAATAGGACCATCAGAGGTAGGGTCAGGCTTTTTCGAAGTTGGACCATATAGATTTGAGAGAGTGCAAAGTTTCGTATACCTGGGCTCATAAATAAACGCTCAAAATGACATGTCCCAGGAGAGCAACCGAAGAACTGCCGCAGCCAATCAAAGCTATTTTAGTCTAGCAAAATACTTTAAAAGCAGACACCTCTCCAACAAGACCAAGATCGGCCTATATAAGACCCTGATTCGTCCGGTACTTACGTATGGGTTAGAAACCTGGATTTTCACTAGAGCCAGTGAGAACCTCCTTCTGGTGTTTGAACGGAAGATATTGAGAAGAATTTTTGGTCCGGTTCGAGAGGGAGACACCTGGATAAGGAGGAAGAATCAGAAACTCTCAAGACTGTAAAAAGATCCTGATATCATCAAGTGGATCAAGATTGGGAGACTTCGATGGGTGGGCCACATTGCAAGGATGAAGGAGGATGAGATCCCTAAGAGGAAATTGGCTGAAAAGCTTCATGGCAAGAGTGGGTAGACCAAATGTGAGGTAAGCTGACTCCGTCACAGCGGACGCACGCAATCTCCTCGGCATTAAGAACTGGCGAGCTGCAGCAACAGATAGAGCTAACTGGCGGATACTTTTGGGGGAGGCTTAGACCCGGTAACGGGTTGTTGCGCCAACTATGTATATATATATGTATGCATGACAGCTCCTATAACTGCAATCTCTGATACTCTGACCTGTCGATTGTTTTCAAGAATGTCTTGAACCTCACTAATGTTTTCATCTATAATGGAGGTCCGAGAACAGTGATCGTGTTGCTGACTTTCCACACGCTGTAACCCTTCCTTGAACTCCTTATGCCAGGCCAACGAACACATCTTTGGCAATGTTTGAACACCTAACTGTACAGTCTCAGGAAACCTCCTGTCGCTTTAACTCTTCCATGATAATTTTATCATTATGTTTTGAGCTGTGGAAGGAGGCATCTTTTGGTTCGACATCTTGATCCTCTTCACTGATGAAATAATTATACATATAGAACAGTTGCCTCCTCCTCCCCTCCATAATGGGTCCACTAGGAGCGTGAGTTCGGTCCTGCCAACTGTAGATGCTCAGGAACATAAATTCTTTTTAATTTTGATTTATTCTTGTATCAATTTATTTACTTGTTGACGTCTCATGGCTGTATCCCTTTTTTAAAAACTTCTTGAAAATCATAAAAATATATTATTGTACGTGTTTTGTCTATTGCCCATATCCATGGTCAAAAATAATTAAAAAAATATCTTACTCAACTTAAATTTCTCTTGAACTTTTACATGCATAATAACACGCACTTCTCCATAATATCTATGTGTATATTTGTGATATTTACACCATTTTATTTTCTATTTAATTTTGATATTATTAAACGTAGGATCTGAAATAATTAATTTCTAAATTTCTTCACAGTAAATGTTAATGCATAATTTTTATTTAGAAAATTAAAGGATAACTATCATGAAAGAATGATTATTTAAAAAAAAATATTGAGTAAAATGTTTGGCTAACTTAAAATTTGTCTTTGCTTTAAAATATCACTGGTTTATTCTATTCATTTGATATGTAAAAGTTATTCAAGCCAAACAAGGGCACTTACTGGAAAGAGATAATCATCAAATGCAACAATGTCCTATTATATCGCTAAATAGATTTGAAATTAAATAATTTACTAAATAAAATAATAAAGAACTGAGTTCAAATATTTATTATTTTGAATTAGGCTTTAATTGGTTATAACATGGCTTCAATTTTTCTCATTGTATTTGAAATATCTGTTTTCCGCAGTCCCTTCTCGGCAGTATCTAACAGAATTGCTCAACTGCAAATATACAATAATAGATAACAAATATAGAAAAGTGAACATTCAACAGCTTTAAACTAATAAATTTAAATTAAAAAAAAAAAAGGATATTATACTGCCCAAGGTTGATGTCCTCCGTTGAGGTATAGAACGTATGTAAATCCATCTTTTCTTGTTCCTTTAATGGAATAGTAATATGGCAAGAAACTATGTAATCTATAAAAAAACAAAATAAAAAAAAAAACATTATTTCAGCTATTATAGTATTATAACTTATATTATAGTATCATGATAGAGTTATTATTGACTATAAATCGAATAGTAAGAGAAATTGGTTTTTAAAATTATATTTATTTATGAGAAGGAGTTAGTCGGGGGTGCGGTCAGATAAATACTAAATTAAAATAGTAATTATGAAGAGAAGAATAGTTGGGGTGGTCAGTCAAAAAGGAAGGCAAAAATAAATGATAATATTTATTTTTTACATATGCCGACGTTTCGACCTGAAGTTCAGGCCTTCATCAGGGCTAAGAAATAACCAGATAACAAGTTATGAGAAACATAAGTAATGATGGTAAAAAAGATAATAAGAAAATAAAATAAATTAAATAAAATAAAAAAATTAGAAAAATAAAATAGATAAATATAAAGTAAAATGAAATTGTTAGAAAATGACTAAGAACTAAGAGATAAATAATAAAAACTGTTACAAAGTGTGGAATGATGAAGTAGGCATAATCAAAAAATCCCCCCTTTTTGATTCGATACTTCAGGATGATACTTCGATACTTTTCGATACTTTTTGAAGATACTTCAGGTCGAAACGTTGGCATATGTAAAAAATAAATATTATCATTTATTTTTGCCTTCCTTTTTGACTGACCACCCCAACTATTCTTCTCTTCATTATCCACGACAGTCAACCAATTACCAATTATAAAATAGTAATTATTTTATTTTAATTTTGCCGATGTTTCGACCCACTTTGCAGGTCGTCTTCAGAGCATAGGATGTAGCACTGCGGGAGGCAGTTGTAAGAAATTACACCCCCGACTAACTCCTTCTCATATTATATCAACGGTCAACCATCTCCACATCATTATGTATATTTATTTATCATTATTTAAAATACAGTGTTATTTTACTTTATAAAAATACATCATATTTTAATTATCAAGTAATTAAAATGTTTGCAAAAAAAATTATTTAAAATACAAAATACTTTTATTAAGGAAGGATATGGTGGGGGCCTATGGCCATTATTTAGCCTATTTATGACCGCCAACTCGGACCATCTCCTTACTTTATAATGCAACGGTCAACTATTCAATATTCAAAATATTTTTATCTTTGTAGGTAGCAAAGTAGTAAGGACTTCAAAATCATATATTTTAATTGGTTGACGTTTCAGAGTTGTTGATTCTCATTTTGAAAACTTTTTTTTAAACAAAAAAGGACATTATCAGTTATTATACTGACCTTGTTAACTCCTGAACCTGTTTGTGGAATCAGGCTTAGTACTGCCAAAAGAAGGATTAGGGAGTTATATGGTGAAAAATTAGAACAACACCGGACTGATAAGAAACAACATTCGAAGCTGTTTCTTAAAGGTCCATGTGATAAAAGAAGTAAAAGCTGCCACTGAGTTTGGACAGAGCAACTTTCAAAAAACTCACAGCGATCTATACTGCTCACTGTAAGTTAAACTATCACATGTTCAATCACCGAATGACTTTGAACCCGATTTGTAGATTCTGTCAGGAGGAGAATGAAAAAGCCTTTCACATCATTTGTCGATGTGATAGGTTTGCAAGGCATAGACTAGAGCTATTTGAGGAGGATCGAGTGGATTACCCCAGTAGCTATGAGTCTATTTATCCGATAAGTCTATTAAGATACGCGGAAGCGACTAAACTAGCCTTTTAAAAATAAAACGGACAGTATACATGGCGCACAATAGATCCTTAAGGGTTGCACTGCTTCATGCCAAATTTATAAAAAAAAATATACTGAATATATATCGTGGATCCAAATATTAACTATCGAATCTGAAAATCATCACTCTAATATGTTCAGCTTTTACGAGTGTTTGAAGATTTTATATTTGCTTTTAAAAATATTTAATCATCAGTAGAAATATGGTCTTTTCAGTCTCAAAAATAAAATACTTTATTGTACATTTATCAGGATTTTCGCCTCTTCAGGGATAATATATAATTTTACTACATATTGTGCATTTTCATCTGAAAAATATACAAAAAATTTCTCAAGAGGATTTACTAGTAGACACTAGCCCATTCATAAAACCAATAACAACATTAAAACATAATATTAACCAATCAAAAAGGGTAATAAAATTAACTATCAATATTTAGTATGGTTACTGTTACTGTAACTATACTGTTACAACAGTTTAAATTAATATAATATTAAAAATATATTTTTTTTTTACATAAATTAGGCCAATTATCACCAACATTTTATTGATACGCTATTAATTATGACGTTTCGAACATATTAAGGGCCATTTTCAAGTCTTGATGAGTCCTCCGTTATATATTCATCATTAATGTCGCAATAATTTGTTCAGTGAACATTAAATTGTCCTAGTCTATAGGGGTTTCGCATACGTCATTTCAATCCCTCCAGAAATGACGTAGGCGAAACCCCTATAGACTAGGACAATTTAATGTTCACTGAACAAATTATTGCGGCATTAATGATGAATATATAACAGAGGACTCATCAAGACTTGAAAATGACCCTTAGTATGGTCGAAACGTCATAATTAATAGCGTATCAATAAAATGTTGGTGATAATTGGCCTAATTTATGTAAAAAATAAAACCTCAAGACACCAATTTTAGGAAAAATGAACAGAAGAAATATTTTTTTAAATATTTAGGTAGGGTAAAATTTAGTTTGATGTTATTCCGTGGTGGATACACTGTGATGGTTCAGTCTGCAAAATGTGCTTTGTGCAGGCATATACTGTGCTACTATCTTGTGACAGTTTGAGAACCCTAGTTCACTACACACATTGTGCAGTAAGGTTTTATTTATTTCCATTGTTTTTTGTTTTGTTTTTTCAAAATTCTTGTTTCCATGAAACTTTGCTTGTGCTTCAAGAGTAATATGGCGCAAGATAGCAGCGCAGTACATGCCTACATAAAGCACGTTTTTGCAGATTGAACCAACACAGTTTATCAACCACGGAATCATCACAAACTAAATTTTCCCCAAAGTTACACACCCAGATAAATGTCAAATAAAGTATTTTACGATTGAGACTGAAAATGCCTCATTTCTACTCATATTTAAACAAGTATCTTTCCCATTATCGTCTTTTAAAAATATTTTTATTTATAACTTCATAAATTTCTTTATTGAGTATTATAACAATCTGTCTGTTGGACATTGGTTATAGTGAGGTAGGATGACATTCACACCATTATGTACAAAAAATAAAATAAATAGAACAAAATAATAATCAAAAGTATATACCATAGACAATAAAATAAATAACCTAAAAAATAAGAAAATTAAAACTAAGAAAAAAAAAAAAAAAAAAAAAAAAAAAACTACATGCATGACTATATACAAATCAGGCGAGGGAACTCCAGGAGAACCCTGCGCTTCTCTCCCAACCGCGCCGACTGGTACTAAAGCCAGGCGGAGATAGGTTCGATAGCACTTTAGCCACATAACACATGTCTTGAGTGAAGAATCTGGCCATTGCCAGAACTCCAATTTATACAATCTACAAAAGGTCGCGAGGCCACTGCCGTTTCAACCTTCTTGGAGGATTATAGGGATTGGGAGAGCTTGAATAGGGATTTGGTGCAAGAGTTATTTGGTGGTAAGTAAGGTCTGGGAAATTTGTAGAATTTTTTCATGGGATAAGGTCAAGACAAAGTGGATGTTAAGGTCATGATTAGGTTTTTGTTGGATACATACAAAGGAGCATGACTATTGTTCGAAAGGACTTTAGACTGGAAGGATTGGATGCCGCTTGATGTTAAGAAAATTTTGCTGACCCCACAGTTATTGCCTATGAAAATGTTGCTGATCCCCACCCTATTTATAACTACAATAGCTAGATTGCAGGATTGGAAATTTTTCATATTCTATAGTTAGCATTTGCTTCGACAATCTACGGTTGGTTTATTGTAAAAAGTCACTAACTTTATTTTTGATGGAGCTAAACTTTTAATAACATTTTAGTAAATTTCGAGCTTATTTATCGATTAAAAAAACTACAGTAATGTGCATTATAATAATACAATCTTTTATATATGCATTAACTATTACTTTTGAATAGATAAATAAGGTTGAAAATCACAAAAACATATTTGAAAGTTAACCTATATCATATATAAAATACATACATATATATATAAAATACACTTAGTGACTTTTTGCAATAAACTGCCAATATATACTCTATTATTTATATTTAATTATCCAAATAACTTTAAATAACCTCAATTTAACAGTTAAATACTTAAAAATTTTGTGTACATCTTTCTTTTAATATCACCCTCTAAAATAAATAATAAAATTATACTGTAGAGATTTGCTCTTAGCTTAAAACTTCTACAATGAACTTTGATATTTTATAAGCTGTTGGAATTCTGAGGTCTAATTAATTGTATTGCCTAAGTCTTTGTTTATATACCTATTTAAGTTCATTAGTGTAATTAATTCAAAATAATATTTTTATTTTAGTTATTATTAAAAGTATTTATTTTATTTGTATTATTAGCATGGTGCGTTCCGAAAGTTTTTGTATCAGTTAACAATTGATTATTTCATTGTTTCTGTTCGTATTATCTAATGTTCGAGAGTTTTCACAATTAAATTTAGGTAGAAATTTATAATTATCAGTAGTGCTGTATTTATGTATCATATAGTTTTCTATATATTTATTAATCCTTGTTCTCAGCTTTTTCGATGTTTCTGTGTTATAACATTTATCATAATTTATCTTATTAATTAAAATTTTGTTCTTCCGTGCATCGATTTTATCTTTTGTGTAACTGGTATATTTTTCTAGCTTATTATTATTATATACATCTAGTTTAACATTAGGATAATCATACTCTTGGAAAATTGTCTTAATATTTTCACTTAGACCAGGAATATATGGTATTTTATGAATTTTTTATTATTATGATTTTCCACGCCCAAAATGTCAACTATAAAAATATAGTGATAATGAAATTCTTACCTACAAACAAAAAATCTTTTTAGAATTCTCAAAAAAATTATAAAAAAAAAGATATTTTTATTTCTATTTGCTCATAATAATAATCATAATCATAATTTGCTCATAATGTTAATTGTCCTTTGACGCAGATTGTAATATTTTCAATAAAAAAGTTTTTAAAAAAAAATGTTAATTAAGTAATATATTTTTTATCAATAACTATTATATAGCATATCCGCTATCTACTAACATCATAAATGCAAATAAATAAAAATATAAATAAAAATAAAAACTTAATAAATCAGTTATAAAATTAGTTGAAAATTAAATTTTTTTTTTTTAATTTATAGAAGATAATACAAAATACTTATGCAATTTTCATTACTGATTATATATTTGGTAGGAGTTAAAGACCTTATTTTAAAATGGAAATGCACATATAGATTTGCAATATTTTTCTTTTTGAACTATCAAGAAAAGAAAATAACTGATAAAATATTTATAGCTCATGCATCAATATCACGCATATAAAATACGATACTTCACTTGAAGTTTCTGTTTTCATAAAAAAGGATGGCAGGTTTATTGCTGGTGAGTACATGAAGGAAGAGAGCTTTGCAGTCGCGGTTCTCCGACAGGGTGAGGTGTGAGACCAAGTTGTCCAGTAGTAGGGAAGCTATCCCGTTCCTCCTGTGCTCCTCGCAAACCCCCAGGGACAGCATATAGGCCACGGTAGCAGATTTCCCATAGCTAGAAGACAAAATGCTTCTGTCCTGCCGACAATACAAAAACGAAAATCCTAATAAAAATCAGATGAGCAACGATTAATGCAAACAAAATAATAATAATAAATAAAAATCAGTTTATTTAATCTGGGACCAGTCTCTTTTGAACAACATACATATACAAAGTTATAGATTTTTAAGCCTCCAAGTAGCAATAAAAAAGAACAGAAAAAGAATAAACAAAAAACTAAGAAGAGTGCTTTAGACCACACGATGGAAGTGAAAACATCAAAAATGCAAGATTACAAATATGAAATACTAGTTGGCCGGTGCGAATAATTCGCAGAAAATTAAATAATGCCCTGATCATGGGATTTTCTAAATTATTAAAAAAAATAAAATGTAAGAATAAACAAATGCCTTTAAGAAATAATAAAGTTAATATATCAGCTAGGAAAAAAAAGTGTAGTAGACTATTCTACTTCTAAATGCAATATCTTTAAAGAGGAAGACATTATTAAGTATATCAAAATCAATGGACTGTATCTATGTTAATAATTGACCAATTTTTACGATTTTTTTTTTTTTTTTTTTTGTTTTGCAGATAATTCAGTAATCTTTCTAATTATCATGGGTACAATCCAGAAAAAAAAATGCATAATTTTTTAAGTTATTCACAAATAAAGTTTCTTTTCCTTCATAACCTTTTTTCCTTAAATTTCGGGGGTATGTGACTATTTTTCCCACTCGAAGATGAAGAAGATCTTTAAAATGGCTCAATCATTGGATTTGATGAAGTTATGGCGTTACAACAAAAAAAACACCTTTTAGAAATAATATATAGAATAAATTGTAAATAAAATAGTTCATTAAAAAACGGCTGTAATGATAAACAATTCCGTCGCTTACAGTACACAGGTCCGATTTTTAGTTTCTGAGATTTTTTAATCCATAAAATATTATAAAATATTTTAATCCTGTACCACTTCCAACTTATGAAAGGTCTTGGGTTCAATATTATTTAGGAAAAGCACTGTTCTTGGTCTACAGTTGTGCAAGGAGGTGATTTAACCGAGATCACGCTCAATTGCCAGGTTTTTTCCCTTAATTAATTAGTTTAACTACGGGTACCAACTTTATATAGGCTGGGTATGCCCCAGGAGGGTCTACCTACGCAGGGTCGCGCCACGGCACAGATGAAACAGAATAAATAATTTTTCTGTCATGAGCCGGGATTCGAACCTGGGACCTTTAGCATTGGAAGCTCAGTACCCTACCACTGAGCTACTCCACTCCCCATTTGAATCCATATCTTCCGTAAAACTCATTATCATTTGGTTTTCGACATTAATTTTTCTCTTTTCGCCTCTCTGACATGGCATAGCGCTAGGATACAATTTTGAATAATAGCCCATTACAGAGAGGATGGAATACTGAACTATTTCCTTGCTTATAGTATGCAGGTCCAGTTTTAGTTGCTCAGATAATTTAATCCATATGCAAAAACACTTCAATCAGTCGACTACAGCCAACTTAAACTTCGAAGATCTGACGATTCAATCTAATTCACTCTCCACAAAAAAAGTGGAAAACACGCCTAAGGAAATGTTCACTTCAATAAACAAATAGAAATAATAGGAAAACATAATATAATGTCTAATACAAAAAAAGATGATTTAAACATGAAATAATAAAAAAAACGAACAAATGATTTATATACATATCTATTTACAATTTTTTGGTAAATGGATGGATAGGAAGTGGTAAAATAGGACTTTACCAGCGTCGCTAGACTCGAGAATGTTAAAACGAGTAATGGACTAACATGCTCGGCCAACATGTATGCCTCTATAATTACTAATAAAGAGCTCTTCTTTAAGAGCCTTTCTTTAGGATATATTAGACCTGATTTACAAGGCTATGGATCATCCGATATTTTCTGAATTACCTGTAATAGCTTGGCCCTTATAGGTTCTCTCAAAATTTGTGTTTAAATAAAATAAAATAACATAAAATGCTAATAAAGTAAATTAGAAATTACCTCCTTGTTAAGATTGCAATATGCTTTTATCTCTGCAACAATAAGACCGATAATGACTCCATTGTAAATGGCCGCCAAAGAATAAAATCTTGGATTTGAAGTGATGTCTTCGTACCAAGCATAAGGATAAGCAATTGGAAACCAATCTCGACATAGGGCTCGCACCTGATAAGAACAAATAAAATATTTAAAAATAAAAATAATGGCTCTATTGATTTAACCTTAAAAAAAAAAAAAATGTAATTATTATATTTTCAAACAGCAAAATGCGTGGGTTTTAAATAAAACTCATATCATTTTTCTTTTCTTTTTTTTCCTGTGGGCATTACAGAGACTGTAGATCTTTTGCTACCTTCTCGGTCTCTACCTATCTTGGGCTTAATTTAGGTTTATTGCCTTTTTTCATAAACTAAGAGGAAGTAAAAACTGATACTTGACATAGAAGGATCTGTTTTTTTCACCATTATGAAATAAAGTGAGCTACAGATGATTCTCATTTTAACGTAGTTCCTCATAAGTAATTTAGGTTCTTTATAATTATAAATAGCATAATAATTATCCATATGACACCAACTATAACATTTCTGGTTAATAAATGTTCATTTAAGGAAGTCCACGGGTAGGGTGAACGAATTTTTGACATCCAATGAATTGTACCGACTGTAGCCACATGCATTAGCTAAAAATATAATGGAAAATAAAATGTAAATAATACATAGATATCTATCGTTTCTAACCTCTCTTGAACTATCGGCAAAATCGAGTTTTTGAAACATCTTATACTACCTATTTGACTTTGGTATATCTCTTAACTAAATTTCTGATTGGTACAGAGTTCAGAACTGAATAAAAATAAATAAATGAGATGCTAAAGCTAAAAAAAACAATGCCCGGTGGCTTCACATCATATCTTGAACTCTTGTCCCTCACTTCCAAACATTTACCCTGTTGACCAGGTCACAGTTTTTCAATCATAACTTTGTTATCAATAATTAATGTTTGAAATAAAGGTGGTATATTTAATGATTTGCAGTTTCAATATATTATGTTTAGTCAATCACAGGGGCAGTGGTCATTAAAATAATTATAAGTTTACAACAGCAATTGTGTATAATGACGATGTTAACCCGGTCCCTTCAAATCATTATAAACGATATCTACTTTATATTTATTTTCACTTTGAAAAGAAATATTTATATACTAAAAAGGTTCTTTTATTTTAAAACTTTTTCTCTGACTTCCTCCTAACTCTTCTCAGAATTAAAAAATTCCCTGATTTTTCCCATTTTTCCAGGTTGATCGCAACCCTGTAAACTCAGCACTAAGCTCATCGATGCCATCGGATTCATCTCTAAACTGTGCAGTAGGGTGTTATCAATTAGCTCAGCACTAAGTTTAGAAACTTTCCCAATACAACCCACTCTAACTTATCAAAAAAAAAAATGATTTCGGCTAGGTTTGGCACTCCAGAAATGGTGTGATCTACGACTGTCAATGAGACTTGAAACTACTATAGTTTTATCCTGAGCCTATTCTAATCTCTATATAACCCACTATTGATAGGTGGCAAGTCACATATAAGGAGATATTATCACGTAATGTCAATATTTAGTGGGTATTATAACAAACGTAAATTACGCACTTCTTCTAGATCTGATGGACACAAAAATCTTAACTGAAGATTGCTCAGGTTACAGAGGGGAACAGATTTGTTTTTCTTTTGATTAGCACCATTTTCACCTGCATACCTAAAACAAATTGAAATTGTTTTTAAAAATATGATATAATTATAATATTCAATGAAATTTGTGTGTTTGGGTAACCAAGAGTATTCATTTTACTGATTACAAAGAATTGTACTTTCCTTGAAGGAAAAAATCATAAGGAAAATAATCCTGAACTGAAAAATGGGGGGGGAGGTGAGTATCCCTTGTTTTCTAAATAGGACATATTTATATTAATCTACTAAAAAGTTTCTTTTTGATAACTTTACATGCAAAACGTTGCTTCTTGGCTGAACTTATTTTCTGTACTAATACTAATTCTAGAATAAAACAATGACATTTCACAAAGCACTACTATTAAACTTAAGAAATAAATATAACAAAATGTCTGCAGCATAGAATGTTTAATTCTATAAAAAGCCTTAATGTAAACATTGGAAAGGAAACTGAGATAGAAATAAATAGACCAGTGTAAATAATATAGAGAGATGGTATCTTTTAAAACAGGTGGACAAGATCTGATACAATCAACTATTAATATATAACGGAGGTATTGTTGAAGCGGCTAAAATTTGAAATGCAACAATTTTCTAGTGCATGACTTCAAGATCACAAGTAATGAAATGATAATCACGAATATATGGTAGTTTGAAAATTCTTACCAGCTAAACGTGTCCATTTACAGCTATAAAATGTTCAGATTCATTGTGTTCAAACTATTCGACGTAAGTCCGAATAAAATTTTCGTTGAAAAGAATGACATAATCTCGGAAACAGTCTGATGTATGGGGAGTTTATTTAAAACAGCTGAGCAAGGGTGACACATGACATTGACACATCTCATAATCGACTTTAAGTAAGCTCACAAACCGATAGTTTTTCTTTATTAAAACTCAGTTAAATGCCATTTGGTAGTTATAAATTTGAAAGTCAAAACTGAAAAGAACTTGTAGATCCATCAATTTAAATTTCAAACCAAATTTTTAAATTAAAAATACGAGAAAAGTTCACGTCAAGCTAAAACCCAGTTGATTGTTTTTATCAATTATAAAGAGAATGGGAAGTTGTTCTCTATTGTAATCAGTTAACAATGGAAGATTTGTCTGTAATTTAACCAGAAGAAAGTGCTGAAGAAGACGTAACTAAATTTTATTATCAACAGTTCTCATTCCAAAATCAATCAAAATTTTGATTTGATTAAATCTGGAGGAGAAATTTTAAATTAAATAATTCAAAAATTTTAAAAAAAGTCAGAACGATAATTTAAAAATACATGACCATGGGATTCTCCAAACTAGCAACTTTTAATCAGCTGTTACGTCATTTGTTGGTGGTAGCGTAGCGGCCGCCATGCTTAGTAGAATTTCTGTTACTTTAGGTTAGGTTTGTTGAAATTAGTATTTTGCTTTTCACTATTATTTTACTGTTAACGAAATGAATACATATAAGGATGTCAATCGGAGAGTCCTCGCAATCCAGGCGAAGAAAAAGAGGCATAAACCAGGCAAGAGGAAGCCTAAAGTCGAAGAGAATCGTTCTACCACACCTAAGGACAAGACCTACTTCAATAAAACTGAACCTAGTACTTCATCTTCAAATGAAACTATTGAGGAAGACGAAGACGAACCGTATTCATCTGATGAAGAAGAACAGGAGGATTCAACAGATTACTGTAAAGGAGGTTATCATCCAGTAAAAATTGGTGATCTTTTTCTTAGCAGGTATCATGTTACTAGGAAGTTGGGATGGGGTCATTTTTCCACTGTTTGGCTGTGCTGGGATCTTGTTGACAAAAGGTTTGTAGCTTTAAAGGTTGTTAAGAGCGCATCTCACTTTACAGAGACTGCCTTAGATGAAATCAAGCTATTGAAAGTTGTTCGTGACAGTGATGCCACTGATCCCAAGCGTGAAAAAGTTGTACAGCTATTGAATGATTTTAAAATAAGTGGTGTTAATGGCACTCATGTTTGTATGGTTTTCGAAGTGTTGGGACATAATTTACTAAAACTAATTATTAAGAGTAATTATCGAGGCATTCCAATTAGAAATGTGAAGTGTATCATTCGACAAGTTTTAGAAGGCTTAGATTACCTGCATACAAAATGCCAGATTATACACACTGATATCAAACCAGAGAATGTTTTGCTGTGTGTTAGTGAATCTTACATTAGGAAACTTGCCTGTGAAGCAACAGAGCTTCATTCAACTGGTTCGAAATTGCCGATTTCATTAATCAGTACAGCACCAAAGGAGTTTCAAGAGTTGGCTCCTAATTCGAAAATGTCCAAAAACAAGAAGAAGAAACTGAAAAGGAAAGCTAAAAGGCACAATGAACTTTTGAAAAAACAAATGCAACAAATCGAAGAACTAGAGGAACAGAGAAAAAACACTGAAAAGGAAGGTACTAAGATGAAATCGAATGATAGTACTGCTACAACTCCTGAAGAAAATATGAATTTACAAGATATATCAGAAAAAGAAATGTCTACTGAAATTAAAACTGACAGTGAATATCTTAATGGTTGTGATCTCATTGACCCTATGAATGCAAATATTACAGGAGCAGGTGAAACAGGATGTGTTGAAGGACTGATGCAGGATGAAAAAGTCGAGAGTGAAAAAAGTTTTGATGGTGGAGGAGAAGATATTAATCTCGCGGAAGAGCCCCTAAGTATTAGCCCAAGTGAAGATACCACTCCATCATCTCCACGTAGGTGTGAAAGGAAGTACTATGGAAATGAAATAGACCCGTCAAGGTGGGAATGTGAAATGGATGTTAAAATAGCTGATCTAGGAAATGCTTGTTGGGTTGACAACCATTTTACAGAAGATATACAAACTAGACAGTATAGGTCTCTTGAAGTTCTTATTGGTGCTGGTTACAATACTTCGGCTGATATTTGGAGTACCGCCTGTATGGCGTTCGAGTTAGCTACTGGTGACTACCTCTTTGAACCTCATTCAGGCGATGGCTATTCGAGAGATGAAGATCATCTAGCTCACATCATTGAATTGCTTGGAGAGATTCCGAAAAGGATAATAAATTCTGGAAAGCAGTCTCGTCAATACTTTAACAAGAAAGGAGAGTTGAGGCACATTGCATGGCTGAAGCCTTGGGATCTATACGATGTGTTGACTGATAAGTATAATTGGAGTCCACAAGATGCTAAGGACTTTGCTGCCTTCTTACGGCCAATGCTGGACTTCGATCCTAACAGAAGGGCTACAGCCGCAGAATGCCTCCAGCATCCTTGGCTCAAATATTAATACCGTCTATCCAAAGTTCACTGTTGATATTAATTTCTAACTGTTTCGTTTCTTCTACATTTTTATGTTATTACATGCATTGTGATTTAATGACTGTGTTTATTTATTCTAATTTTCATATTTCTTAATAACTTTTATATTGTGTCGTTTATCAAAGTTCAAACTTTCGAGATTGTGTTATCAGTTGACAGTGCTTGGTTACCGTCGGCATACCGACAAAAACAATACAATTATTGCTTTTTTAAATAGCATTAGGGCCTAGTTATGATATTAGTGTTTATAAGACTATTAGCTTAAATTTGTAATTGTGATTGTAGTTTATATATTGTTAGTGAATCTCAGTGTTTCACATTGTTATTCTCCAGGACCTTATGAGGTAAGGAAACTACACTATGTAATTATTTTCTTTTGAAAAATTTATATTTGAACTTTCTTTATTTTTTGTTCTATTATCCCCATAAACTCAATGTTTTAATTTTATTAATTTGTTTTTATATGTATATATTTATTACTCAATATATTGAGGAGTACTGTCGTCACTTCTTTATTTGCTATCTTACTTTTTGAAGTAATTTTTTTTTTTATTAATATGTCTACTATTTTTCATTTTATGGTTGTATTTGTATGTTATGGATGGGCGGAATCAATATTATTGGTATTACAGTTTTGTTAAAACCAATACATTTCATTGTTGTTTGTATTTGTAGAATTAAAATGGGAAGAAAAAAAATATATATATTTTACTTCTTAAGTTTAATTTTGATGTATTACTTCTATTTTTTCTTTAAATTGGAAATATAATGCAGCTATCAACTTTTAAAAGATATTTTTGTTATTTAGGAAATATTTGATTCACATATATTTTTAAATTCCTCTCTCATTATTGTAACTGTTTGAAAATTAATAAATTACTGTTGATGGATCCGATGATGGAAACAGAAGTTTTTAGCAAAATGGTTTACCAAATTTCTATTCTTATACGATAAAACAATATTATGGTTTGGTTGTGATGATTTTAAAATTTATAATAGTTAAATTTGTGAAAAGATTTTTTTTTTTTAAGTTTTCTAAGGGTATTACGGAGAGAAAGCATTCTGGTCGGGTTAAAGTTTCGATTTAAAAATTTCAGAGTCTAAAAAATACATTTTCGGCTATTGATCTTTCTGTGAGTAATGTGTTTAGGGCATGATTATCTTTTGAACAGTTTTCTTAGATTTATTGCTTTTTTACTTTGTAAGGTTTGTCTCCTGTTGCTCAGGTCCACAGTGTGCAATAGCTGAACAACGGGTTTTTCTATAGACTCTAGCACCCCCAAAACAACTCCCAATGATTTTGATTAAACTTACCTTCAGTTTTTTATGTACTTAGTACATCCTTTAGAAAAAGCAGGAAGATAAGTTATGGTAAAAATAAAATGTTATTTGAACATAAAACAAAGTATACTTTTTAGAGTATTTATATATACATATTTTTTTTTTATTAAATGCCTCTGTCGTTGGCTATTAGGCCATTCGGCTCCTGGCAACCCAATAAAACTCCACCATGAATCCTTTGTTTAAATTTGTTCCGATCCCATCAGAAGTACAGCTGTCATCTGACAGAGCGGGGCAAACTTAGAGGTGCAGGTCGTACATCTCTTCCTCCTGGCAAAGAAGGAAGATTTATATATATTATCTAGGGTTATATTCAGGATTTGCAGTCTTAGGCTCTGTTGATTACCCACATACTTTGGACGAACCAGGATAAACAAATTTATACTTAAAATCCTGACTATCATTTTATGTATACATTATAAAGGAAGGAGATGGTCCGGGGTGGCGGTCATAAATATGCTAAATAGTGGTAAAACTATTTTATTGAAAGCCGACGTTTCAAAATTGTTATGAAATTCTGTATACATTACAATTTTAAAGATAGTAAAATTCTCTATAAGAAAAAATGTTTCATTGAAAACAAACGGGTATTAGCAAAGATACAGCATTTCAACATTCCACAAATCTGTTGTTGCTCTCCTTTTGCTATTAGGTTTGAAAAGTATTGCTATAGGTGTTGTAAATGATTATGATGGAATAAGTTGAAATTTTGCACATATTTTTTTATTTGATATTCAATTTGCATATCTTAATTTTTTTTTTTTTAATTTTGATTATTCTAACAAACTTATGCTTTGCCTGTTTTTCTATGTATTAAATACTTTTAGAAGATTAATTTCATTACACAACTAGTGCCAAAAGAAAAAATTATTTTTCCCTCATTGCATCATGTTGAGACATATTCACAAACACATACTATAAAACTGTAGATGAAGGTAATGAAATTATACTTAGTATTGATTAATTAAATCTGCTTGAAATTCGCAGTCACTATAAACTTGTTAAAGAAGCTAATGCTTTTCAGCGATATTCTTCTTGAAAGTACTCTTAAACTCTTCTATTGGCATCTTCCAAATATAGAGGTGAGTTAGGTATTTTCCCTTAGTTATATTTTTGTATTTAGATTATACCATCTGAACATTTATGATATTGAATGTTATCATCAGAATTAGCATGATTAAAGTCTATTAGACTCAAATCAATTCCAACATAAATCAATTTTTTAAGGAAAGACTTCTTTATACCATGGCTTCTGCGACATTAACTGTGATTTAAGACCTGTTATAGGTACTATAAATAGCCCTAATTATATCCTCCCCCCCCTATTAATAATCCTACCCTAGTTATCTACAAATTTATACAGACTCATCAAAAACAAGTAACCGAACGTCTATAGCTGTATATGATCTCCAAAAGAACCAGAAATTTTCATTATCAATACCAGTTGATTTCAGTATTTTCAGCACCGAACTATATGCCATTCTTAACGCCATATATACAGCGAAAACACATACGTCAACCAAAAAATAGTTATTTTGACAGACTTCTCAGCAACTGCATGTAAACACCTAAAATTAATCTATCAAAATAAAGCACTGACACACATTTCCTTTAAAATCATATCCCTAATATACAACGCCAGCAACACTTTTTCCAGTGGGTGCCGGGACACAGAGGAATATCAGGAAATGAAATGACAGACAAAACTTCAAATCACAACCAACAATATCAAATAAATGCTAAGGTCCCTTTACTGGATTTGATAAGAGTAGTGAGGGGGAAAATAATGAAAGACTGGCAGCATTTCTAGGACTGGGAATGTGCCTCGAAGGGTAAGGACCATCATGCAGTTCAACAGAAGATAGCACTGGTTCCATGGTTTGCGACTCTTAAATCTCATCTCGACCGCTTCAGCTTAGTAAAGCTGACCAGGCTTAGGATAAACCACAGTAGAACAAATAAATATCTACACCTAATGGGTGTAGCTAAGAGTGGTCACTGCCCAACATGCCATTGCTTGGGGGATCCAAGACACATTGCCTTCAAGTGCAAAAGATTCGAGAAGCGAAGAAGAATTAGTTTCAACTCAAATCGCAACGGATCGCAAACTACGGATGATGGAGCTAACTTTCTTCGGTCAATGAGTAAAGATAACACCTGTGATTTGATAAAGTTCATGAATGACATAAAAGCAGTCGCCTCTTATTCTCAGTTAATTGTAATTCTAATTCATCTCCGTTTTCAACTATTAGTCTTTCTAGTTTCCATAATATCTAATAACATAATATCTAAGTTACTTTCAGTGATCATATAACTACAATTAATCAGTATAAATCTTGTGTAATTTCATCTTACTATGACAATTAAAATATTTTACTGGCAAAATAGGACTTGCTTTTACAAGTCTTAAAGCAAAAAAAGAACAAAAACAAGTACTATGAATGTTATGTTCCGATTATAAACAAATTGATTAATAGTTGTCATTTGTCAAATGAATAAAAATTAAAAAAGTCCTTACAGTAACATAATGAAACATAAACGAAGTGAACAAATTAACATGAAGAAATATCTATTAAGATTTATTACTTTAAAGTATAGAACACTGATTATCATAAAAATAAACCTAATTATTTTTATAGATTAAAAGATTTTTTTTTTTATTTATTTTAAATGACATTTACAACTGTATACAAAAAAATACATCTAGTAAATTTGCACATTGGTATAAAGACATGGAACACATGTTGAGAAACTACCCATTGGTAGCACTCTAAGATTAAAAGAAATTTATGATTTGGTTATAAAAAGTACTTATGCAAAATCCTTGGTTATGCAATATTTTTTTTAATCAGCTGATTCGTTAGTGTTGCATCTTTGGAGATCTTAGCAGTATTGAAGGATCTTTAATTAAGGTTAGACATGGTTCTATCCCTGTACCAAAGATAGACTAAGTTTGTTTTGTTATTCAACCCTGTTGTGGATTATTTTCATGTTTTTTTCAAAATTTCTTATTAAAATGATACCATGTATAGTCACTATTAGCGTGAATGAAGATATCACCAATTTACATATTAATTAATATTAGTGCAAATCAGTAAAATTAAGAGAAAAAATCTGGTGCAGTGTGTATTGCGCAACTTTAATTTTTTTTTAGTTTATCTTATTAAAAGTAATTTTTAGTAATAATTTTTTTTTTTAAATTAAATACTAATAATTTTATTAGTTTCTAGTTATTCATTCAGTATCGATTTTCTTCCATTTTAATCTCTAACCAGGAAGTGGGTGAGCACTGACTTCCAGAGCTCAAGGTCCCGGGATTGAGTCTGGCTGATGAAGAGTAATTTTTCATCAGCCGTGGGTTGACCCTGTGGTAAAGCCAGCCTCTATAAATTGGGTACTCTTAATTAAATAGTCTTATAACAGTACTTCCTCACATTGTACTAAACCCATGACCCTTCATGGGTTGTTTATGGTACAGTTTTCTTTTCTGTTTCTTTTTTAATCTCTAACCATCATCCTTTTGATTTCTTTTCTTCTTTTTTTTTTTTTTTTTTTATGCACTTTCCTAGTTTCTAATAATAAGATAGAGTTTTGAAAAATATATCAAATTTATTAGTGTTAGTAAGT